AATTTTGCGGAAAGGGCAATTAGAACGTTCAAGGATATGCTTTATAAGAGGGTTGAGGTTGATGAAAAGAAGGGGAAGGGGGATATTCAATGGACTGACTATATACTTGAAATTCTACTTACTTATAATAATCAGATGAAACACTCGGCCACCGGTTTAACTCCGAAAGAAGCACGAAAAAAGGAGAATGAGATGAAGGTTAAAATTAAGTTAGGGATGAATGCAAAGAAAAATAGGGTATATCCAGAGGTTGATAAAGGCGATGAGGTTAAGATATTCAGAAAAAGAAAACTTCACGAAAAAGAAAGAAAAAGCAATTGGAGTAGCAATAGATATACTGTAGAAAAGATTGAAAAGAAATTGGGGCAAAATTACTACTATATTGAAGGCATCGATAGACCGTATTTGAGGTTTGAGTTATTGAAGGTTTAATCCAAGTTGTTCGTCGCTTTATGAGTAAGTTGCGTGTCGTTTTACGGGTAAGTTGTTTGGTGTTTTACGAGTGAGATGTGTGTCGTTTTACACCAAAAAGGTTCAATTTATTCTACTTGGAATGGCAAACTATTCTTGTCAGAACAACGAACCATTCCAGGTTGAACCCTAAATTATTCTAGTTAGAACAATAAACCATAAGTATAATGAAATTATACTTCATCAGAAGTTAGGAAAAAGAAAATATATAATGGACCGATTCTATACTTGAAATACTACTCAGCTACAATAATCAGATGAAGCATTCGGCCACTGGCTTAACTCCAAAGGAAGCACGCAAAAAAGTAGGATGAGGTGAAGATTAAGACGAAACTAGGGATGAGTGCCAGAAGAAATTGGGTACATCCAGAAATAGATAAAGGAAATTTGGTTAGATATTTAGGAAATGGAAACCCATACACTGTAGAAAATATTGACGAGAAGTTAGGGCAAAAATTCTATTGTATTTAGGGCATTGACAGACTATACTTGAAGTTAGCGTTATTGAAGGTTTAAAACAAAGTTCGGCCTGTTGTGTTTTGATGTTTTGATTTTGTGTTTTGTTTCTTGTTGCGTTTTATTGGTTTTTCTGGATTTGTTAGTATATTTAGACCTTCTCTAGAAAACCGTATAGTTTTTACATAACCTAAAACTCTTATCTTCCTTGGGCGGTTGCCCTAAACCCTAAACCCCAAAAAACACCGATAATCACGGAGCCCGTCGGCGATGAAGACGACGGTGTCCTGCAGGAAAGACTTACTGTCATGAGGATTTGGGGATGTCACAGGATACCCTGGAGATGGAATGCTCTGCATCAACACTTTTGGGCGGAGTTTGCGTGCAAAATACGAACCTCTGTACCACAGCACGAGTCCTTCCGGATTCCCGAGGTGAGACAACTGAAAGCACTTCAGGCGTCAGTAACACGCTTGAGGCCGCCCTTCTGGCTAATGCTACACTTTTTGTCGGCCGATATCACTCTAATCTGAAGACCTTGCAAGAAATGTTCCCGTCGTAGAGAACACAACATCAGGGTTGCAGCTGCTGTCATGATTGGATTGCCTCCGTCAATGACGAAGCCAGCGCCCTTCTGCGGGTCCCCAACGTCATGGTGCCTGTCGGAGAGGCGGCCGTAGAGCTCCCACAAGAGGTTTCGCAATATCACCGTGTCCTCAACGCCCAAACTCAGCTTTTCATTCATGATGCTGAGTTTTCTTGCTGCCCAGTCCTGAAGATGCCCGTCAGTCGTGAACAGCGTGGACTCTGCAAAATGCTGGCACAACCGGGTCATCGAATCTTCATACCGGTATTGTTCCGCAAACTCTCGCAGCCCGTGTTCAAGCAAAGGACGTGTCGCAAATACCGCCTGATGACGTGACAAGTTGAGAACAAGCTGCACGTTCGCCTTCCTGAGCAAATCCATAGTCTCTTCCTTGGCCTCAACAAGGGCATCGGCCCGCTTCTGGGCCTCCTTGGCCTGCTCCTTGGCCTCCTTGGCCTGCTCCTTGGCCTGCTCCTTGGCCTCCCTGATCTCGTTGATGAGCTCGTCCTTCGTTTTGATGGTCTCCTCCATGGACCTGATGGTGTCAGAGTCATGCCTCCGTTTCCCAGGCCCAAGAGCCATCTTTGTACATTTAGCAATCACTGCTACACATTCGAAGTTGCCTGAGCCCACCATAAGGAGTGAAGTTGCACGATGCGACATGTGCGAATACACAAACATGATGACAGCTAACACATGCACATGCAGACGCACTCGGTCCTCCTCCAGGCTGTGGTTGTGGTGGTCCCGGTCGGCGTCGAGGCATATTATGACGCACGTCTAGGCTTTCCAGAACCTCCTATGCCCGTTTAGCTTGTCCTTCCTAGGGGCTAGGGGAGATAGGACAACCCAGAAGGGCAAATTCTACGAGAATGACCTTGCCTATTTTCAGGGGTTGGAGTTGTTGAAGGTGGTTTTTTGGAAGGGTGTAGGGGTTGNNGGTGGGGATTTTTGAAGGATACAGGCAATGGGGTTAAGGTTGTTGCTAGGGTGGGGTCTTTCGGTGAGATTTTGGAAGGGTGTAGGGGTTGAGGCGTTGGAGAAGTGGAAGGTTGAGAAGGTGCTTTTTTTTGGATAAGGGTGTATGGAGGGATTTTTGGGTCAAAATTGGAGGGTTGGTTTTGGTGGGTGTTGATGAAAAGGGGTTAGAAGCATAGGGGGGGGTCTAGCGGTTGAAAATGGGCAAGGTCATTGCTAACTCGGGCATGAGGGACAGCTACCACGGCGGCAATGTCGATGTCAGGCATGGCCATTATCCTTAGCTCTGTCACCATTTCGCTCAGATTCAAGTGCACCTTGCTGAATCGTGTCAAGGTTCATGTTCTCCATATCTATCGAAGAAATCCACTCACCTCCTGATTTCACAACCTTGGACATGTTGTCTGTGGCTGCGAGCCCCAAAACTACGGCATCTGCTTCAAATCCTCTATATCACGAATAACTCAGCCAAGCCAACATCTTTGGAGCGATCGCTAATGACAATAGCTCCCTCTTCATCAACCTTTGCAACATCTCCAGTGATAAGCCAACCGTTGTGGAACTTGTCTGGTGCATCCACTTGGAAGTATTCCTGGGAGGGGAAGGCTGAAGCAGCCACAAGAGGATCAGCTTAACATGATTTACCCGGATTTAACATTTCTTTTCGCTGAGTGTGTGTTGCGATGTCGTCCTGGTGGGCTTGTGCAGTTCACGCAGTGCGGATGAAGAGCTCTGAAGCGTATTCTCGTATTCTGAAGCTTCGCCCCAACATCGCCCACCACGGCATGTTCTCGAGCTTCGAGCTTAGAACAATGTGAAAGCCAATGCTCTTCAGACTGGATTCCATTCCGCCCGATCACTCGCTCTCTCATTTTCGTCATTCGCCCACCCACCGCTCCCCAGTGCTCACGCCGAACTGCTCAGGTTGTAGCAGCATGTGGCGAGTCTGAACCGCTGAGCCGCGTTCTCTTCTGGCCCTGCATGCCCTAAGGATCCCTAAGGTTGTCAAACTGTCAGACGAACGTTTCGCTCAATGAACGCTCAGGCAGCATACCGTGGGCCCATGCTCCCATGATGGTGGACCAAGTTGACCATACAAGCAACCACCTGTCCTGAATGATCCACGGTCCCCGTACTAGCAACTCGCCGGGCTGATCCCTCGGCATGTCGACATCGAGGTTGTCAGGGTTGGCCTGGAAACCATCTGCCATCGGCAGCCAAGTGCAGTGTCCAGCTGCCAGAGTCCTATCCTGCAATTTTGCCTGAGACGAGGCCGAGCAGCTATTCGCACTTGAACTCCGGGAAGTGGAAGACCGGCCTTGACAACCTTACAACATGATCTGAGGCCAGGTCCACTGAGAGCTCTCGTAAGCTGAGGCCGCATCGTTCCTGAAGGTGTCATCCACACTCTTTTCTTTGTCAGCATGCTTGGCAACCTTGGATCCGAGAATGGCCCTGTCTTGGCTTGCTTTGATGTACAGGGGACGTCGAAAGTCGAGGGCTCAAGCTCGGCGGCACCGGAACTGTCTTTAAATTCTTTGGACCCCACTCTTCGAGCTTCGGGTTTCATGCCTGCTGATAAGTGCTTCGAGCTTTCCGACCTGACAGATTTGGTTCGGCGTTACTCTGGGTGGTTTTGGGGTTTCGGTTTACAGGACTAGGCTTCTGGCTTATAGATTTTATAGGGTATTGGGGATAAAAGCTTCGGGCTTTGAGGCTCTTGAGGGTAAGGGTTATGGGTTGGATTCTTGTCACGACACGTAAGGGTCTTGGCATTTACCCTGTCGGGTTTCCGGGTCTAAGGACTACGACTCGCGCACTCGCTCAAAGCAGGCGCGGATTCTCAGGATTTGGGTTCTGTGGTCGTGCAGGGCTGGCGAATTTTGAGTCTTTCGCGGTGTAGGCCTTTTCCTCTCACGGTTGTTCCTTCTTTGGCTTGATGGCTCGGTGTCCAAAGCTTTCTGCAGGTTCAATTTATTGGGGTTTTGGAGTTCAAGGTCTTTTGCCAATGCTTTTTCGGGTTTAGGGTTTCTTTTCAATCCTTCCGCGTCTATGCGCAGGCTAATCTGCGGGTAAGTGCCGGCCAGGGAGTTCAAGGCTTAGGATTTGCAGGTTTGCGATTCTTTCGGGGGTTATGAGTTTCGGGCTTTGGGGGCTTCAGGTTCCGGGCGTTCGGGGCTTTTTAAGCAGGCATTGCAAGAAGCCAGGCTTAGGGTGTTCAGTATTTCTGGCTGTTGCTTCCATTGCTGCCGGCAGTTGAAGCATGTTTCATAGTCTGTGTGCGACCTAGGACATAGGTCGGTCGTACTGCTAGGTTGGGTGCCTAGCCCTGCTCCCCTTGCGCTTCGAGGAGTTGGAATTGAATTTAGGCTTCATGTTTCGACTCTCAAACCACAAGGCAGGCAAGGATTCAGGCGATCGGCCTCATTCGGCCTCTTCCACTGCTCATGTGGGATACAGCATAATTAATTCGGTTTCAAACCTGTCGTTCTTACTTCGGGTTTTGGTGCCTTCTGACTGGACAGCTGCGCGGACATGGATCTTGCATCGACAGACGAGTTTCGGCTCGAGAAAAAGCGAGAGTATTGGGAGACAGCAGCAACAAGTCCAAGAGTAATCGTAATCATGGCGCTGAAGGGCTTGCGGAATCTTTGGCTTCGGTATTGCAAGCGTCCAATTCCTTTTCAATCTATTTTGCACAAGATGCCGCACGAGAGCGGCGTTGCTGGTCTTTTCGTGTTGTCTGTCGTCACGTCAAGGGCCGTTGGTCTCGGGGTTTTGTCGTTGTCTCTGTGCAGGTGTTGTCGCAGGGTTGGAAATCTGTGGCCTAAGTCATGTGTGCGCAGCTGAATCATGCTGGTTTGGACCATCATTCTTCAGAGATTGCTTCTCCTGCTCAGCCCACGTCAGACCGAGACGTTTCTGCCCCATGTGCTGAATCAGCCTGGCCACCCTGATCCCAAAGGAACCCATCGGGTTGGTCTCTGTCATGCCCCAACCTTGGTCTCTGTGCTTTCGCTGCAACTGCATATGCGTGGACCAGGCCTTGTAGGAACTCCACCCCAAGCCTCAGAGCTGCAGTCGCATTGATTTGGCAAGGGTCCACCCCGCAGGAAGATTCATAGAGATGTCTTGACTGACTTTTGACTTTTGCACTCCGAGAAACATGTCGTAGAACCACCGCATCAGTGCAGGCTGCGGCGCACTTCCTCCACAGGTAAGCCTCTTCAAGGTCAGGCCTTGACGGATCTTCTCCACGCCTTGCTGCCTGAAGCAAGTTCTGAAGTAGCAGCAGCTAGGGCCTAGGGAGATTCTCGGGTTCGATCAAGCAGCTCGATGTGAGCTTTGACACCTTGCCAGACAGTGGGCACACCAAGCGAGATGTCTACCTGGAGGCGCGCAGCAGAAGTGTTTGGACCGACCAAAGCTCCGAGCCATGATCGAGCCTTCCAATCCGTCATCATCTTCACCAACGTTGCAGGATCCATATATCTGGATGTGAAGATTGCTCGCGCACCTCTTGCAGCAAGGCTGATTTTCAAGATTTTGCGCTGCGACCAGATTGCAGCGGAGGGGCCAATCATGAGCATAGCAAAGGGTGTTCCCCAGCTCAGCACATGAAACATCGGCACGAAAGGGAGCACAACCTTCCACATCGACACGATTGGATTCGTTGAGGTTTGGATTCTGGCATGTCTTCTTGCTGCCTCATATCCACGAAGGCAAAGCTGGTCGGCTCCAACCATCATCAGCGTGTGCCTCACCACGGCCGTCACAGACATGCCTCTGTGCCAAGTGTGGCACATGTTGGCGCATACTAGGCTTATCAGTAGGCCCATACCGGCCCTAAAAATTCTGCCAAGGCCGATGCAGAAAAGTGGATCGATGGCTGTAGGCGACACCCTTGGGCTTGCCAGTGGTTCCTGTTACAGGTCGTGAGAGAAGGCGACCATCTTATGCTATTCCAGAAGTGAAGCACGGTGGAGCAGCAAACAACCATGATACCAATGATATGAAGATGCCAGCTCAAAGCTATGTAGATCCAGAACTACCGGGAGGCATGGGCTGCCTTGCCATCGCTGGCTTTGCCTTTTGAGTCTCGTTTCCGTGCTCTTTTGTTTCATCCCGCTCCGTGCCTTCACTATCCTTGCCAGTGTGTGTTGCTATTGGGGTACTGCTGTGACGTGACCTGGGTTTTGGCAACATGCTGCTTGCACAGGCTGATGCCTTTCTGAGGCAGCAGACAAAGCCGAATGTAATATGGCAATTCCCCCCCCATATCGGGGAAGTGCCTAACTGCTCAGCGTGGACAAGGCGGGTGGCATGCCGAATGGCCATGCCGTGAGACTCCCTCCCTTCTGCAGCATAAGGGGTCAGGTGCCCGGTTGGTTGGAAGGTATGTTAATTTTTGCAGGCTGGTCCCTGCAAGATCTTGCAGATTTGACGGGCATATGGGCATGCTCATAGCCATGCCATGCCAGTGAACATGAAGACTGTTGCGACATGCGGCAGTCTCCCAGAATGTCGTCAGGCTCAGAGTGAATGATAGTGGACGTTATGTAATTATCGTCTGGAAGGCTTACCTTTGCAGTAATTCTCCTTGAGTCGTCGGCTAGTTGGGCAGAGCGGCTTGATGCATTTTTTCTGGCACACCATCTCTTACAATCTTTGGAGGGCAGACCTACGCTCTACCGAAGAGGTTCCCCAATTCCCCAACAACAAGCTCCCGCCTGAAGTGTAGCAAAGGCCCATTGTCGTGGTCTCGGCGAAGACAGGCCACTGAAAGTCTGCATTGCCAGTGCTCAGAAACTGCTCATAGTCCATCGCCTCGACTCCCTGCAATCCTGACAGAGTTGGGAACAGAACCAGTACCAAGCAAAACTCCCTGCAACCATGTCCTGGTGGCAGCTGCCACTTGCCAGGCAAGCCATCATCACCAAGACCTGAGACGACATTTTAGCTGCCCTTCCGGCCGCCTCCAAACTTAGTTCATCAGATGGGGTATTTTTTGGTTCCCACTTGGCACCGTCAGCGAGCCAATGGGGTATGCTATGGTATACTTCCGTGTCTCGTGTTGCATTTTGGAGCGGGGCCCAACTGGATTCCGACTGCCGACGGGGTGCAAACTAGAAGCTCGACCTTGGCCATTACTTGCTTGTCCACTTCTGCGAGGAGCTCAAGCTTGTCTGCATCCGAGAAGATAATTCCTCAAAGGCAGGCTATATACTTTGGACAGCAGTTGACATGTCATGTTCTGTCTGCAGCGTTGCTTGCAGTTGTGTGGCGGTCCCGCGCATGCTCGATTATGTACCCCAGATCGGCTGGACCCAGTCGTAGATTCAATGTATGGAGGACAGCACCCATGCACGGGATGGCATGGTAGCCTGGGATTGGCAGTTGCAACGGGTCTTTCACAGAATGTGCACGAAAGATTCAACAGTCAGCCAAGGATCATTCGTAATGCCAAGCAGAGTTCCACATCAGTGTGGCAACACGGTCCTCGAGCTTCACCCCCCACTTGGAGAGAGCAGATGCGAGGCACTTGGTCCGTCGCAGGTGCTCCAAATACGTTGTCGTATGATAGCCTTTGCTAGGTGCCACACGACATGCTAAACCATCCCTACGCCTGAAAGCAATAACATTTCTTTCAAAGGGCCATTGGATGTTTTTGTGACGATGAGGTTCCCAGGCTGCAATGTCGAGCCTGGTGCCAAGCATCACGGTGACTTCTGCCCCCATTTCCCACGATTGAGGTGCAATCGAACAAGAGCAGCTGCAAAGCTCCTCGGTCGACAAGCTGGCCTCAGCAGGTGGCCAAGCACACAGTGCTGAGCCATTCCGAATGACACTTGTGACATCAAGAAGGTTTTCGACAAGTTGCTCAGCAACAGCGGCTCGACATCTCTGCAGTTGACTTTCAGTTGAGCTGCCATAGCTGCACTGCGCGATAGCACTAACTGGCACTAACTGGAAAATCTCAAGCTTGTTCCGAAACAGCAACCTTTGACGCTGCAGCGAAGAAAGGTCTGTTTGTGCCTTCAAGCATTTGGGGCAGGCAGGAGCAAGCCTTTGCAGCAGCCTGTGTGGACTCGTTGGGGCAGCGTGTTGTGAGGAAATGTCCTGGCTGAGGTACCAAAGAACGCAACGGTGACGTTCCCGACGAGTCCTCGCATGTCGATTTGAGACAGAATTCGGGCATACAGTAGCGCAGAAAGCCACTTGGCCTACGCAAGCCCGTGGACATGATACTGTTGCATGTCCAGGTCTCAGTGGAGCAAGCATTCGCAATGCAATGGCACCCTTGGGGTAGCACAAATTTCATGGACTCGGTCTTGAAACATCGGCTGCCTGGAGCTTCAAAGCTCTCCTTGGTTTCGCAGTGTAGTAGTTTCCGTCACCCCAAAAACTGATGACCTCTCTAAGCTGTGAACATGGCCAAGCATGCAGACTGTGGCTCAAGGCCATGCCAGGCATGGGATGAAAATAGGTGGAAGCTGTCATCACAATCAAGGCCGTCGCAACCCGCCAAGCTCAGTCGCCGCATTCCTTTGTATGCTGCTAGTCTCGCCATGCCTCAGCTGTGGTAGCATGGTCGACGTACATCCGACCATAGGCCCGTCATCCTTAGATAAGCTCTTAGATAAGAAAGTGACTCGCGGAGCCGAGTTTGACATGGCCGCCGAGGACGAGATCGTTGAGGCAGTGGAGGGCCGTTAGCATTTCATCCACGTGCCTTGGGCTTCGAATTCAATCCGTCAATTTCTCTGCAGTTATGGCTCTTCACAAGTGTAGAGAGTAGACATCCAAGTGGCGTAATCCGTTGGGTCCCCCGGCAAGACCAGCAGTTTTGCTCTGCCAACCCCGTTACATACCCCCCGACACGTCTGCACAAAGATACGGTACTACAGGTCGTTCTGATTCTCCACAGATAGCAATCTGACCGAGATAAAAGCTTGTGTCGCGAAGCCAGTGTATAAATGAAGGCATGACCGATAGCTTTGGTACATCCATGGCTCTTCGCACTGGGCGGTGTTTCCAGGGCAAGGTACAAGCACTCTGTGAAAAAAACAAGTTACTTATCCAGCAGGGCGAAGGCCTCGACAAAAGGGTTGCTCACGTCCTGAGCGCACGCACAAGCCGTGCCGATTCTTTGAACCGCATCACTCAAAACGGTCTTGTCCTTGGCCGATGTTGTCAGTGAGAGCACCTTTCAACGTTGGATGTCGAGCCGTGCCATCCTATCCCACAGACCTGAAGCTGAGCAGCCTGAAGACCGCATGGGAGCGCCGGCAGTGCCAAGCGCGGCCTTGTTGTCCGCAGATGTAGACGCGAAGGGCTGCCCTCCTCACCTGTCATGCTCTCGGATGCGACTGCTCGAAAAGCAGGCGCTGCCTGCCTTGGAAAGAAGGCCAAGCTCCAGCAGCTTCGACTGGATCTAAGCAAACCTCCTCGATCTTCTGCAGCCCAGATGGCCAACAAGAAGGCATCATCATCTGCGTGTTCTTCCTTGGTGGTGTGCCAGCGCATGGTCTTTGGATTCCCACGCGTCTCTCGTGGACCTAGAACCTATTCCTAGAGCTGGTGCCAGCCAAGGTTCAGCCCCCAAATGCCAAATCCGATCAAAGCTGGGAGCGCTGCCAGCTCCTCGCCAGCTGTAAAGATGATCAGGTCAAGCACAACACAACAAGTTGCAGGCTGTCACCAAGAATGCATTTTGCACGATAATTTTCGATGAGCTTCACTGAAGACTTCGCCGGACAGGGAACACTGAATTAGGTCCAACCGACGAAGAGCTGGAAAAAGCCTGAGTCTGTTCTCGAAAGCGTTCTGCGCAGCTGCTCCGCTATGAGTCTGAGTCGCCAGCCTGCCATGACTAGTAATGGTGCAAAGCTCCTGATTCAAGAAACGAAACATCAAATGAAGAGGTCGCCTCTGAATAGCGGAAAGCACGTGCAGTGATGTGACTGAGCTCCTGCATACCGAAGGAGTGCAAGATCAATCGACTGAGAACGCCAAACGGCTTCTGCAGCATACACCTCTTGGCAAAGAGAGGCACAAAGGATGGGAGTTGGTGAGGCACAAAAATGGAGGGTGGAGCCGGACCGAGAGCTTTGGAAAATGCCGGGCTGGGCTTTTCGGGGCTAAGCTTCTTGAAAGGGGTTTTCGTACCTCGAGGGCGTCACGGCTGCTGCGGCTTAGGATTCGTTTTGGGCTTGCGACAGTTGTTTTAGGGGGAACAACACCGCCCGCTTGGATTGACTTCATTCTTCTTCGCAACACGATGCACACGGGGTTTATGTTTAACGCTCTCAAGCTCGTTCTGTCAGATCTGATTTTCGGCTCGCAGTGTTCGTCGTCTACGGTTTTTCAACTTGACGTGTCCTGATGCGATTTCGTTTTCGCCTTGGGCTGTTTCTGGATTCGGCGCTCGCACTCGGACTCTCCAGGTGAGGCATGTGTCCACGTGGTCTGTGATGGAGGAGATGGATCCGCGACGTGATTTTCGACAAAACTCCCTGAAGTGTCAATGCAGCCTAGCTTTAAGGAATTCGCTGCAAGGAACTATACCCAGTCAGCAACCTAAGGACTCGAAAGGTCTCTACGGCTTAGCGACATCCCTGAGGTGCACAACTGAGTGCCACAGCACGATGGGTCTAGAGCCTTTGGGCCGGGACTGTCCCGTGTTGAAGCTTTTGAAGCCCCCAAGCTTATGGACTCATGGGCTCTGCGATTGATACAAGGTTGTAAATACCTGGGGTACACGTTTTGTTTACGGCTTGGTTTTCTGCCTTCGCGGTTTCGGCGCTCATGCTCGGACTTCCTGGGTCTTTGAGTACTGTTCTCAGCAGTGCTCGCACCCGTTGCCTAGGCGAATCTTGCTACTATAGGGTGGAGTTCTTGGGACTGCCAGAAGCATGCTGCACGGTACAAGCACAGCGTGCACCACAAGAACAGATAAGAGTAGCAAAGGCAGTCTGAGTGTACCTCTGCAAATCGTCGGAGCGTAGAAGCCTCTCGCCGGCTTGTCTGAAGCACGAGTTGACGGCAGTATTGCCTCATCTGACGACATGAGCCCATGAAATGCCAAAGAAAAGATTCAAAAGGTGAATCCTCGCGGCCAAGAGTCGCAGCGCCAGACCTGTCACCTCGTCAGACCGCATCACCGCGAAATCTGCGAGTCGAGCTGCAAATCGAGCGGCCGCAGACGAGCGAGGCTCTCCAGCTATAGTCTCCTGTAAATCAAAGCGCCACTGGTAGCTGTCCACGAGTGAGGCAGAAAGAGACAAGACGGTTAAGGCTTCTTTCAGCACTTGATGCTTCCAAAACTGCTTCTTTGCAGCAAAACAACCAACTAACACTTCAGAAAACACGTTCTACCGTGAAGACTCCCGAAGAAAATTCTTGAAGCGCTCTTCACTCTTCGCGCCCAGGCACTGCAAAACGCTTCAGCCGCAACCAAAGGACAAACAACTTTCATCACCAGGTTCTGTTCAGACTTTGAGGGGTCGCTTAAGCTGACAAAGGAGAGAAAAGGTGATATGCCCGGTCGATGAAGTAGATGCTCGTCATTGTGGAGATTCGAACCTACAAGTAGGTGGCTAGAGGAAAAGCGGACAAGATGAGACCTTGATGGCAGTGGCGAGGGTCAAACCTTGAGTGCCAACTGTGCGGGGTACAGCTCCGTTATGTCAGCTGCAGAAGAGGCAACAGTCACATGTGCTGCCACGGGGAAAAGTCCAGGAGTTCATGAGACTCACGTGTTCAAACTTGGAGAAGCGGAGGCTGGTTGTGGTTGCCCAGAAACAACCATTCCGAAAGCCTTCCGGCAGCAGCTGGTCTTAATAAGGCCTCATACATGTGTCAGATGTCAAACAGTCATCTGGAAAGCCCGGCAGCCGCTGAGTGTAAACTCCTCCAGGAGAACGACCTGGAGCCAAAAGCTTGTCACGGCCCTGCCAGCTGCATGGAGGCCACGGCAGGTGTACATGGCGCGAGCCCCGTCGGAACCTCAGCACTTCTTGGGCTTTACCAATGCAGGGGCTTTGCCCTGACTTTTAATTCTAGGAAGAAGGGAAATAGCGAAATCACCAAACGTAAAAGCCATGACCATCCTTTGACTGCGAAGTTGCGACCAAGATGTTCCAAACACCGCACCTCAAACGACTCCAACAGCGTGTTCCCGCATCCGTAATGAGAAGGGCATCGTACACCCTGAGCCCTCCAGAATGTACCGAGCCGCCAGAATGCCTTCGGTGAGCGCCACCCAGGGCAATATACTGATTTTGGGCACTTCGACCCCGCCTGCCGTGCTACTTTTGACTTGGACTCTCGCAACTCCGACAATGCAGGCAAGGGATCCGAACAGAATGCCACACATAATCCGTCAGAATTTACGATGCTATACAACTATAGTGCATGGTAAGAAATACACTCAGAGCTATGATCTGGCCTTCAGACTTTGTGACGCGCGGTGCCGGCTTGAACTCCAGCTGAGGGCACGAAGACGAGGATTTCGCAGCATCGCTCTCAGAAGAGAAGGCCTTCGAGATCCACTTTCGACCCTAGAAATGACTGACTTCGTGCGTAAGGAACAAGTAAATATGCAATTAAGCCAGGCTGCGGCATGAAGGAATTGCAAGCTCCCATCATGCGCCTCAGGGCACGCTTCTGATCTGCAAAGAGGTGAACAAATGAGTCGGACGGGGCACGACACTTCCAACACGAGACTCAACTGTATGCAGCTGAAGATGCCATCTCTCTAGCAATACTCCGAATTGCGCTCGCTGTAAACTCCTCATCTGGGACCAGCAGTGTCGAGTTGAGAACTCGCTTGCTTGTGATTGCTTGTGCTCACCAAGTATCTTCAGCGGCATCGTTGCCATTGAAATGCTCCCGAAAGTGCTTTGATGCGATGTCGCCTGTGAGGCTGGTCTCTCGATTAGCGGCGATGGGTTCGCTCCAGTGCAAAACGCGCGGCAGTCGTATGCGGCGTCCACCAAGCATATCCTCAGTGACAGCTCTTGAGAAGACAGAGCTTCTGAATACACAGGTTGCTCCATCAGCTTCGCGCATTCTGTGTCAGACATGTCTCACGAGCAATTGCACGACTGAGTCTGGCAATTCGCGCAGCTGCGGTGCCATGGCTGGTGGCCTGCGGAAACCTTGCTGCTGCCTCTGCTGTTTTTCTCGAGTCTTTGCTGGGATTTAATGAGAACATCTGAGAACTTTGTCGCGCTTGTTTCTGCAACTTCGTAACGAGGCGGCCTTTGCGCCTCAGCCAGACCTTTGGCCAAAAGAGATTACCAACAGCAATGCCCGGTTCAACTTACCTGAGCACGAGCGCACACTGGACGTGCAGGGAACCGTCGCATGATAAGGGCAGCGCCCCTCACCACGGCAAAGGCATCCAGAATGGAGACCTCCAGGCAAGTGGCGACTGGCAGTGCAAGTTTCTCAGAGCGAACTCACATCGCTTGTTGCACTTCAACAGCCGCACAAATATGACCAGTTTGATTGAGCGGTAGGGAGGGCGCGAAGCGAATTCAAATCCCCGCCGCATTTGGGGCAAAATCTTCATGATTTAAATGCAAATATATGTGCCTGACCTCTCCACTGTCCATAAGCCGCACACCTGGCAGGCTACCCGGTTTTTCCGGGGTGCTGCCTTCAGTTCAGGCAGTGCCCCGCCACGGCAAGCCGCGACTTGATCTTGGTGCGGTGCAACTGAAAGGAACACCTCGTAGTTGGCGGAGCAGGCTCCCCTGGTTTGCCGCCAACGTGTGCCTTGGCGCCTTGGACTGGATGAGTAATGCGCCCTGTCCGTCCTTCCTCGAGTTTCGGGGTTGGAGAACGAGCTGTCTTGCCAGATTGGCCGATGCAACCCTCGCTCTTGCTGGTTTGCTGGGGCCTTGGGTGGCGCGGCGAAACTCGGATTGAGGGGCCTGGCCTGTTGAACGAGGGGACAAAGCCGTGTGACGAAGAGCACCCATGCCGTCACAATGTCCACACCACTGAGCCACTGCCACCTTGAAGGCTCCCAGCCTGACAACCGCTGTGCATTTCGGGTTCGGCCTTTGCGTCCAGCACACGCTGGAACTCCCCCAGGGTGTCGTTGCTTTCAGTCGGCGCTGAGATCAAACGAGCGAAGCGCTTGGGCTGCAGGAACTGGCAGGAAGACGTATGAGCTCAGGGCAAATGGCTCAGGAAACGCACGAAAAGGATCCGGGTTCTCCTTGTCGGAACAAAGTATCGGCTCGGCTGAATGAATCTCAAGGTTGAGGCGAGCGAGAGGGGATCAAGAATTGAACCAGTTTTATGGAAACGAATGAGGTGTTCTCGGGTCTACCAGCCAGGTTGCGGGTGATTTAGGAGTCCCAGGTGCAGGCCGCAAGACCTATGTCAGCGTCGCATCTCTGAGCCGCAAAAGGAAGCAGGGAAACTACTTAAGAATGAAGTATTATGTCAGAGTATACATATCATATGTCAAGTGAAACAATATATATAGAGATGTGTGTATGTGTGCGCGTGCGCATATGTATGTATATATATATACATACATACATACATACATACATACATACATATACGACCAAGGGAGACAAGGAGCCCACGAACCCGAGAATGGTCACCCACGAAGTCTGGGCAGGATGCTTCTGTGCCGATTGGTCCAGTCTCTGTTCCCCTCTATGGCTTCCTGATCTGATTGGTCTCATCCTCAAATCTGACTCGTGGCGCCGATTCCTGCGGCTGATTCGAATCCTGTCCGACCTGATACCTGCAGCTTCCGCACGAACTTTACTTAAATGTCTCCCGGCAAAGCAAAGCAGGCAAAGCTCACTGTCCGGGACGACATGCGAATCGCTAGGCACGGGATCGGCCTGTGTGCAAATTCTTTTGGTTGGGAATCAGTGTTGAGGTCGCCAGGGAATCAGTGTTGAGGTCGCCACAAGTGAGACCCCAACAAATCAGCAAAGGCAGTACGAGTGCAGCGACCGCAAGTTCATTCCTTCCGCCAAAGTGCAGCAGCCAAAGGCACTATCAGCGAACATGGAGAAATTCACCTAACTGTGAGACCCATGCTTCCCATGGTCGTGCAGATGTAGGCACAGCGTGTGATGGTCGCACAACTCGTGGCGACTCGCCCGGCGAGACACGTCCACTCCCACCCACCCACACACACAGACTTCATGGCATTGTAATCCCTCCGTTCCGGTGCTTACTGCAGCGCTGCCAGCTCGAGCGGCCAGACCTCCGTAAGCTCAGATCCGCTGTAGTCCTGCAGCACATCAAATGCCACATGTATAAAATTCATATCTTCTCTTCCCTCGTCACAGCAAGTGTCGCGAATTTTCCACGATGGCGTTGACCGACTGCGTGAGCGAGCATCCCAGGCTGGCAGGTGCTAACACTGTCGCTGAGATGGGAATCTGCGATGTGATGCAGCCTCCTGAGATCCTGCTTTAATTCACGCGCATACGAGACTGTCCGTGCTCCAAGCAGGCTCCACAGAAACATCGAGCTCTGCGATCCCCTTCAGCATCATTATCTGCTTACATATTCTGTTTCTGTAGTACATTAGGGCAAGGCTTGGGGCACTAGCTGCTTGCATGGAAAAGACCTGGAACGGTATTGCATGTGCGCACCCGTCTGGGCTGACTTCAGCCAAACCACAGCGGGCCGACAAATACTGCACTTCAAATGCAGGTTAATGGCCCTGCTCCGGTGCTGCAATATCATCGATCATTGCATGGATTTCTGTCTGTGACGTGCGAGTGCTTGGCCGCGGCTTCCCGTCCAAGTACCACTCGGAAGTGGTCTTGGTTGGACTGTCTGCGGGGTTCTCGTCCTTATACCAATCCTTACACTCTGAAACGATGCGCGACCTCATGGAGATGTGACCCCGCGAAAGCGCACACCCAGATGAGCTCCTCACTTGTTACAGCAACTGCAAGCTGGGCTCGACAACAACTTGCTTGACAAGAGGCGGACACAGATTCGTAAGATAGAGCCGCCATTCTCGCAGGTTTGTTTGAGATGTCTTCTTCGATCACGCTGTTCTCTGCCTCATTCTGCAGCGACTGAGCCCGATGAAGAGCAATGTTGACGAAAACATTCGACAGGTCAACTTTGAGCCGTAATTTGCACGGAAGCGCCTGCAGAACTGCAGGAGTCTGCAGCTCCTGTGCACCTCACTTTTTGGTCCAAGACGCTTTCATCAAACTTGCAGCATCCAAAGGACCGGGGCGTGGGCTGGCACTCTCCGTCTGCCCCTGCTGCAGCATTGGCATCCTCAGTGAGCTGCAAGCCCACGGCACGCAAAAAGTGCCTGTCTCCCTAGCCGGTACATGGCAAGATCAGTTTTTGACTTGTAATGAGCTGGTGTCCAGCTATGCATGTGGCATCGACTGCTCTCGACTGGATCTAGGCTTGGGATGTCATTACTGTAGCCATGTCGCAACGTCTTCGGTATACCAAACGTGTGGCCCAATATCAAACACTCAGACATGTACTGTGAACCTTCTTACCATTGAGAGACGACAACTTGTCCTCTTGAGCGTGTGTGTGTGTGTGCGCGCCATGGCCCATCGACGGGAACCAACACGAATCCAGGACAGTTATTACCTGCCGCAGAGTCGCGGGTCGTCTAAGTTGAGCAATGTGCGACATTCAAAGGCAATGGCCCCGGTCAACGTCGGCTCGTCCAGCTCAAAGATTTGACACTCGAACTGTGCGAGCTGATCCACAAACTCCTCGATCAGTGGAGTCAACTAGGGAGTGCCTCTATTGCAATCTGACAGGCAAATCACACGACTGTAACCTTCGTCTTTAAGCGACTCCTTGCGTGGATCTGCGACTGTTCGTCTCTCTCGAACATGGTCGTATGCTTGGCGGAGGCTCATCTGCTCGTACTTCATGAGATAGGCGAGGACAACGGATGCCGATCGAGACACGCCTTGCGCACAATTCACCAGGACATGATGCTGCTCATTGGAAGAATGTGCTTCGTTGATGAACTGCAAGGCGCCATCCAGCTCAGGCAATATGTTTTGATCTGCAGTGTCGCCGAAACTGATCTTCTTGTACACGAAAGGAAGGTCTCGCTCCTGATTGTACTCCGTGTAAATCACTCGGAAATCATCCTTCAAATTGACATCGTGCGCCAAATTGAGGACGTGCGTGATATTTGTTCGAATCGTCATTTCCTTGTCGTTCTCTAGATTGCGCTTGCCTTTGATGCCGATTCTGCGTGCAAGCGTCACAGCAAACTACGACGGTGATTGTAATTATGTTAGGACTAACTCCCAGCTGTGTCTCCGCCAAGAAATAGCCATGGAAGAATCTCCTTAGTGAACAAGGCTCGTCTTGCTCAGCCAGCAGCGGGAAGTCACGCCGTGCTATCAACAGCGAAGGCGAGCATCGCTGGAATGCGCGGTCATGTGCGACTCAAAGTGCTCTTTCAGCACTTCCTTCCCACAGCGCGGGCAAACCACCTTCTCCCTGGCTGCAGTTGGATCGATCTGGGACAGATCGATGTCCTCAATCTCCTGCAAGAGAGAGGCGAGGCTGGCACACAGTGAAACATCCGCACACGGTGCATCTTGCCAGCGTGCCTTGGCTTCTTCCAAATCTTTCCTCAGCTGCTCTGCGAGCTTTAGGCTTGGGTCAGTCCGGGAGCAGAACTGAAATCCAGACCAGCTTCTTCTTGCCAACCGCTTCCACCTTGCTTAATAATGCGCTCATGCCAACACCGGCACTCGCTGTGGGCTTCAGCGCCACGGCTTTCGGCTTCGGGGCAGCTGCCTCGGCGATTCAATGCGACAGTAGCTGAACAGAGATTCTGCACACACAGAGACTCTGCGACCCACTTCAAGCGCTCCTTTGGAGGCGGCGGCATCTTGGACTTCCCCTTGCCTTTCCCCTTTGGCACAGCCTGTCGGCGGCATGTGCCTACCGGCTCTACCGGCCTCACCTTCGAGTTCCCATCGGCCATGCAAAGTCGCGGACCCGGTCTCAGTCTCATGGGTTCGTGGTGTCTGAAGCGCCTGCTCGCCCGTACCGGAGCTGATCCTGGCAGTGGCTCCTGCCTCCAACAGTTCCGAAGGGACCTGTCCATGAAGAAGGCAGAACGCAATCTGCAAGGCTGTCTCGCACCCTGTACCTGCCTCCTGGTCCGCGGGCGAAATCCTGTCCCAGCTCAACTAGTCTACCCAGGGGATGGCTCCAGGAAGTTTTTTCTTTTGCGGTTCATCTCCTCTCTCAATTTTCGGAGGGACTACTACTTTCGACATTTTTTGGGGGGCCGACACGAACCTCCAGCAAGGAGCAGGCATATCGCATTCCAAAATGGTTTCACGAAAACTTGGCGTTGGCACAGCCGGCCCTGGACGCGCGGATTTCGACATGGAAATGAGGCGAACTTCGGAGGTGGAGCGGGCAGTTAGGGTGATGCAAACGGAAACGGGATTCATACCAGACACAGTACAAGATGCCTCGTGCAGCATCTCATCTCCTAACTAGGCAATGCCATTCGAAACATGCCCCCGGACCCTGGAGAACACTGCCTCCAGAGATCTGAGCACGAAAACACGAGGATCCTTCTAAGATTGCGCCAGTTTCGATTTTCGTAAGTATGTGGAACTCTCGAAAATGCCACATATCGTCGTCAAAGTAGCAGCTCTGCCAGGCCGTCGATAAGCCCGACAAACCCCAAAAGTCCAAAAACCATGGACGGACAGGACAACTATACGACAGGCCACAGTAGCCGAAACGGAAAGCGTCGCGGTAAACTCCGAAAACATGCCCAAGGAGGCGTGGCTCGGAAGCCTACTGCCTTCGAGCCAACTGTCTTCAGAAGAGGTCAAGTCTTTGCTGGCAGTTTGAATCCGCAAGCCTATAGCCCATGGCATTTACGAGCAGGCTGAGCTTGTCATTGGCTTTCCAGCATCGATTAGGCAAGACTGCTATGAAGGCAAAGGCTTCTCATTCTCTTGTTGCTGCCTCTCCGCTGCATGAGGCGCAGGCATGGCTTCCTCCTTCGGCGTGCAGTGCATCGTTACATGCACTATCTCGCACTGAGCTTTGCTACGAGACGACGGCCTGTGGCGGTAAAGCTGTCCCCCCAGAGTCACATCTGGTGTCGTTGGTCGTGGGCACCGGAGGCGCCTCTACTTCAGTTTGTAACAAGACTCGGCACTTTGAAGCAGCCTCAGTAGTAGGATTTTGGCCTCCGAAGTTCTGCGCCCACTGCCTCATGCACAACACATGCGAACACAGCCCCGAGCTTCTGCCGTCCAGCGAATGAACTTGCTGGGTGCATGGAATCTATACAGTCCCTGCCTTCGTCATCCTTCAGCTGCACATTGGACTTGGCGGCTTTGCCGCAATCCAACTTTCGAATGTCGCCTCGCATCCACTCTGTCAGGGCGTTGACCAACCACTGGCAGTGGCACCGGTGCTAATATCGGCATGAAAGACCAACACTTTCAAGGCATCAAAGCATATGCTTTTCCAAGCCATGATTGCTTCGTTCTCAAGTCAATGAAGCCTGAAGAAACTGCCGCGCATGCAGGTGGCGTGGGCGTCGCCGAGCCTGAACCTAGGCAAACCCGACCCGTTCAACAGCAAGGATATGCTCGCATCAAGACGTGCAAAAATCTGCGTGGCTACTGGTCGATGAGTTGAGCAACAGCCCCAGTATGAGCGGAACTTCGCTGGAGCAAGAGATGCAAGCATGGACCGCCATGGCAAAGGCAAGTGATTCAAGCGAAGAAGCTCGGCTATTGAAGTGAGGTTGCAAAGCAAAGGAGACCGGGGGCTTTGAGTTCGTAGAGTGAAGGCCGGGAGTCTGTCGAGTGGGTGACCAAGAACGACTAGAGTGAGAGCAGTGACTGCCAAGAACGACTAGAGTGAGAGGAGTGACTGAAGCTTGTGAAGCGAAGGAATTGGTGATCGTGTTGGCTAATCACAATGTGAGCGAATGAGAACGAGAGACTAAAGCGAGCAGGGAGAATGACAGCGGGCAGTAACCAACAAGAAACTCATTTGGGTGAATGAGGTTCGCGTGAGACACGGAGCCACTAAATGAGGCAGCTGTGAGTATAGTGAGTGGAGTGAGCCAGTGCGAAAAACAACTAAGTAAGTAAGTGTCCCTGCATGGGATTATGTAGTGACTAGGAAGGTGTCTGACAGAGTGCAGTCGAGATGAAGAAGGAGTATGAGTGTGTTTCGGTCACAGGATGCATACGTCAGTGAATCGACCGAACGAGCGAGAGCACAAGGGAGCCCAAAGAGTAAGCAAGCACAAGACTAATCAGTGTAGCAATGGAGCAAGGGAAGGATGGAATAATCGCATATGCTATTTGTGCTATATTCCAAACGTGCCGGCTGGCCACCTTGGTTTAATGAGCTGACCCCCTCTCCCCCAAGCCCGACCTGTGAGACCTCCCAATCCGATGCTCATGAAAGTTAGGCCCAACTACCCTCCACGTCCTGCGAAACAAGGAGCAATGGGCTTTTGTTCCTGGAACGCTGCTACTGCGAAAGCAACGCCAAATTCCCCACGGTTCCCCCTTCGTCTTTCGTGATTCGTTTGCTATATGTTTCTCAGCTTGCATTCAAAGCTGCTCGGTGTGCCTGGTGCACGTGGACCGATCTGCCGCTGCGTGCAGCAGAAGTCCTTGGCCCAGGCTTGCCCCATCACCTGCCCGCGCAGCCAACCTTGGATACAGCATATCGGCTGATTTCTGGCACTGCTCCATCCTGAACATCTTTCCTGGACACTACATCTCTGCCGCAAGATACCAGATCCTGCTGAGGAGTTGGCAGCTTCTCCGATAAACGGCAGAACGCTGGAGGATGGTCTCTGTCTTGAGCCGAAGTGATTGCACGGGCACGACACACCTCCATCCACCTCTGACCATAACAATGCAGCATTGCTAAGACCAGTCCCGCTGCAGGCCCGTGTCGCGCACCATGGCGAAGCCGTCGACAGACCTGGGTGTCCATATATTCCATATTCTATTCGCCTATGCGTCACGTGTCCATTTCAGAAGAAAGTGCAGTGCAATTTTGTCCGAAAGTGCCAGATCGGTTTCACAAATCCTGGTCCGTCATGCTTCCGTCTCAGGCGTCTTAGCTCTTGTCCGCTGCGCATCAACTGCAGAACTCTGCGTAGCCAGGTTGCAGCACTGCATTGTGGGAGCCAACCCTTCGCCGAGTGTGACTTCTCCGTCAAGACCACAAGCTGAAGTCGGACTGTCGGACTGGTGGACGTGGCAACACAGCAGAATTCACCTTCAACTCTTCTTCGCGATAGGCCTCAAGGTGAGAATAGCAGTGGTGGCGGCATTTTTTCGTTGTTTCTTCAATGTTTTTTTGCCTCCTGCATGGCTGAGCGAGTCGCGAAGCAGGGTAATGACAAATACTCCGGTTTATTATTCCTTCCATCAATATTTTGTGTATATTATTTTTTCGGCGGGCTCGCTGGCAAGCAAGCAAGCAAGAGAGCAAGCAAGTACGCAAGCGGGCAAGTCTATGCCGTGAAAGATCGCTTCAAAATAACATCTGCCAGCAAAAACAGAACGCGCATGAATCGTTGCAGAACTTCTGATACACACATTGTGGTTGCAAACGGGGGGGCTGCGGCTGCGCCCCCCTTAGTCATGCCGCGAGCCGCGGGTCGCGGGCCCGTGAAAAGTTGAGGGCGGGTTTAACAAATGTGCAGGGGGAGGGCAGGTTTAAGATATATGATAAACCGGAATCGCCCAATCAGGGGGCATATTTAACTTATATGATGAACCGGATTCGATAAGCGAGCGGCGTCTGTAAAATATATGATGAGGGGCGTGCGTAAGATGTAAGATGAATCGGCTTCGCCAAATGAAGGGGCATGTTCAAGATATGTGATCAACCGGAATTGTCGAAGGAGGGGGTGTGTTTGAGTTAGATGCTGTGAACCGGAGTCGCCAGATGAGGGGGCTTGTTTCCGATATATGATGATATATGATGAACCAGAATCGCCCAATGAACGGGCGTGTTTGGGGTGTATGATGAGGCGGAAACGTCACTGGGCAGGTTTAAGACATATGATGAACGCAATCGCCCCGGGGCGGCGTGTTTAATTTATAATATGAATCGGGCTAGCCCAGAACGGGGGTGTTTAAGATTTATGATGGACCAGAAGGGCGTGTTTAAGATATATGATGCACCGGAATCGCCCAATGAGGGGGAATGCTGAAGATTTGCGCATGATGAACGGGAATTGCTGCATGGGGCGGGTGTGTGTTTAAGACATATGCTGAACCGTAATCGCCCAATGGGGGGCGTGATGGGGCGTGCTTAAGATTTCTGATGAACCGGAGCCGCCAAATGGGCGGAGGTATTTAAGGTATACTCTGATCCGAAATCTTGGATCCAATGAGATTTCGGTAAATTATATATCTTAAACCCGCCCAGTTCCTTCGACGATTCCGGCTCATCATACCCCAAACATGCCCCTTCATTGAGCGAATCCGGGTCATCATATATCTCAAACACGCCCCCTCATCTGGTGATTCCGGTTCAGCGCAGACCAAACACGCCCCCTCCTTCGGCGATTCCGGTTGATCATACCTCTTAAACGCGCCCCCTCCGTGGGCGATTCCGATTCATCATATATCATATGTCTTACACACCCCCCCATGTGTCGATTCCCACCCTCGTTGGGCGATACCGGTCCATCATGTAGCTTGAACACGCCCCTGCCCAAGATTCCGGTTTTCATCCTACGTATATCTTAAACACACCCCTCACGTGGCGATTCCGGATCGTCGTATAACATCTTAAAAGACTTACGTAAAAACGCTCCCCATTTGGCGATTCCGGTTCATCATAAACCTTATGTGCACGCCCCCTCATTAAGTCATCATGTATTTCAGACATGCGCCCTCATTTGGCGATTCCGGTTCAACATGTAATTCCACCCTTGGGCGATTCCGGTTCGTCATCTGTCTTAAGCAGGCCCCCTCATTTGGCGATTCCGGTTCATCGCATGTTCAGCGTATATCTCAAGCACCCTCCTTCTGCGATTCCGGTACATCATATATCTTAAAACGGTCCCTCATGTGGCGATTCCGGTTCAGCGTATACCAACAAAAGCGCCGCGACGAGCAGCGCCAAGCACGCTCGCCCGGGCTCGAATTCCACGGCGCCGAAGGACGTCATTTATCCCCCCCACCCCCCCAATCCGGTTGAAACGTGCTGAACATCAAAGTCCGAAGTTCCGAAAGCAAGGATTAACCCGAATATTCGAACGTGCGAGAAAGAAGAAAGGAAGCCTCGAAGTCTGAAACCGGATGAGCGGGCAAAAAGCTGTGGGTTAAGACAAAAGCTCCTGGAAACGTGGTGGCCGCGCAGAGCGCGGGCTCCAACTACATAAGTAATCTGGTGACCGCAGTGCAGTAGCGCAGTAGACAAGCACATCACTCTCAACACAGCGATTGCTGTCCAAGAAGCTCTTTCAAGAAGTCCAGCCATTGCTCGGAAGGGTTCCAGGCACGCCAGAGGAGCAGACTGACCCCAAAGCATTCTGCACAAAGGACTGATGCGTAGAAGAGGTCCTGCAAGGGGTTAGACCAAGTCATTGTCGCGAAAGCAACGGGCGTGGGTACAGCTACATGACACCGCCTTCTCCGTTACAGATAGGTAGGACAGCGGCGGAATCTCCAGTAGCAGTGACTGCCTGAAGCTAACATCAATGACTCAATATCGTCGTGCAAGGCCTGACCAACGTGACACTCGCATCACCATCCCGGTCGAGCTGAGACGCATAAACCCGAGAGTCAGTAGAATCTTGGTGGACCAGAACTTCATGTGCGGTTCGAAGCACATCAAAGACTCCGAAAATGTCAGCCTGTGCTGGTGCTATGGAAAGCCTCCGGCATAGTAGCACATTCTGCTCTGTGCAGTCTAAACTTCGGCCAGGCTATGCGACGTGTGCCTTCTAGAACTTAAGCCAAGACTTCAACATAGTACAGCGGTGTTCTCAGGTTTACTGTCGAGAGGCTCAACGGTGACCACGTTACCAATGGCTGCAGTTGACGCAACACTGCCCATCCCCAGGAACAAAAAGTGTACTTTTGAGCGAATGCGGTACACGATCTTGTTGAACGACAGCGTGTAATCTCCACCAAGGTAGGCTTCCACGGACGTAGTCACCAAATGGTACAAAGCTTCCATGAAACAGGTCCCATTGAAGAGGTAAATGCCTGCAGCGCAAAGTCGCCGTGACACTCAATCTGAATGCAACATTCGGCAACATATGCAGTCTGCAGCCTTGCTTCGTCAAGGTTTGCAGGCTCTTGTCCAGCTTCGTCGTCCTTTCATCCAGCGTGTTCCCCGAGGCGGAAATGATCTGCAATGCCAAATCCGCAAAGTGCAGCAGCGCCCATGACTCATAAACATCTGCCAAGAGAAAGTTGGTATCGTACCTGTGTTGACTGGCACGGGGAAGCCTGTAAACAAGGAAGGGGGACCTGCATCCAAACAATCAAAACTAAAATCAAAAAATCTGCATCTAAATTCGGGATGCATGTTCTGACAAACAACAAGACGTGCAAGCCATGTCTTGTTTCCCTCGAAGTCCTCAACATAGCCGAGGCTACCGACTTTGCTGTTGACGCAGATCATCCACATTCGTGTCACCGAGCGGTACGCCATCATGCACGAAATCATTGGCAATGCTATAATCATGATGCTGCTGTCCATCCCAGGGTTTCCGCGAAGCACGCCACCCTTTGTCCACATTTTGTATACCTTGCCGTGGCATGCTCGCATGCTCGCTGTGTGTAGTCAGCCGTGTGACACACACACACACAACTCGAAACAACTCATCGGACCAACTTTGAGGAGGGACATGGCGTGCCGTGTTGGCAAAGCATGCGCCGTATGTGAGCAGCAAGAACAAAGGGGCTGAAAGCGAGAAAAAGCGCAATAGATGGAGTCCATCGGGAAGGAGGTCTCGCAGCTCCTGGTGCCACCTCGTACTGCCACGTCACAGCTATCAACATGCCTTCATCTTCGCAATGTCTGCTGAGCTCATGGCCACTCTGGCAAGTTCTTCTCGTTGTTGAAAGCCTCCTGGATGCTCAGAGGCTCCAGCCAGCTCGTGGGCTGCAAGAGCCTTGCGTGAAGAAACAGGGGAAAGAGGCGCATCAAGGAGGTGCACGTTTTAGCCCACCTATAAGTGCTCCGAAGTTCAGCACAAATCAGATATCCGCACACCACCTCGGACAAATGAGGCCGGACTTCTGCTCTGGTACCAAACCGCCAAACCAGAGTCTGTGCACCGGACATACATCAACGTATAGTAGTGGAAAGCGAGGAGGACGTCCTTCTCCATGGCACTGGAAAGAACAGCAGCGAAAGCACACCCAGTGACCAGTCTCGACTCTCGACAGCCTCCTTGTGATGTACGGCTTTTCTGATACAGAATTGGAGACATCTTTGACCCCAAAATTGGTACCAGGGAGCCGACGCCTCTTCAGGTGGCAGTGCTCTCATGGATGCGATTGCAAAGTTGGTCTTAGCCAAGAAGAGAAGAAGCAGGCAACCCGTGCAATGCAAGAAATGGTATTGGGCTTGGAGTTCAAGGTGAGAAAACCCAGGCTAAAACCAAGCCAAACGAGTCTCGGTAGAGCTTGCCTGCGCAAGTTCGGGTGTGAGTAAGCTCTCGCAGATGTCTCCACGGAGCTCATCTCTTGCAAGAGTCCTGCGTGCATGTGCAGGATTTCAGAGGACAGTGCGGCCTGAAGTTCATGTGGTTCTGTAGCTAGCAATTTCTCGCTGTCCTCTCCAGCCAGTCAAAGCATTCACGATATATGTAAAGGATGAGCAGCCCCAAAGCGAGAAGCGGAGCCACCTCATTGCACGCTATCTGGGCAATCACCACCGTTCACTCCAAAACGCTTTGCTCACTTTGCTCTTTGTTGCATCAGCCACGCAAAGGATCGGCGTGTGCTCGGTGTCTGCCACAGAGGGGTCATGGCTTAAGGCCATCCTACATTCATAGATCTGCTCGTCCAACCAAGAAGCTGTGGAGGACACATGCATGATCATTTTTGCACCAAACTTACGATCAATCAGAGCCACCATGCTGAGCTTCTTGCGTCAACAGGGAACCCGTTGAAGAGTCCAGCACTTCCTCGGTGCCTACGGCCATCTAAAGAGTGACACCGTTGTGCCGGAGCTCGAAGACAGGCCTCCCCCAACGCGCCTTGCCTCGGCCGTTCATGCCGTGCAATATCATGGGCCGCCGCTACACTGTCTGCGGAGCAGCATGCCGCACAATGAATACATACCAAGGACCCAGCAGCGCTGAAAGCATCTGGCATTGACGATGCCTGCTCTGGAAACGGTCCCAACATAGACAATTCAGATGAACAAAGGGGACAGGAATCCAGATTTGGACCGTGTCGGTTGCTTGCCAATGCACGGACGCGCTTTTCGATGCTGCACAGCGGAAACAGTCCTTACCTACAGACTGCCAAAACTTGTCGCTGTTCGACCTTGCCACTGTCAAGCGTCACCCGGCTTTCCACAAGGCCACTCGGGGAAGTACTTGGAGCGAACATCCTCTTTTGCTATCTTTTGCTTACAGTCGGTTCGGGCAGCAGGTCAGCAAGTTGTTCAGAGCCTATTACGCCATTCCATGCCTTGAACGGTTGCAAAGGCCATTAGCTGCATTAACTGCTTGCATCAATTTCCCGTCCTTGTCCGCATTGGCTGAGAAGGCTGTGGAGTTCACGCCGGGCTTGCCGCCACACCTGGCTGATCTAGCTTTCGCTTGTCATCAGCTCCAATCGGTCACACGGTCCCATCGAGGCCCTGGCATGTTCGGGATCTGGCCCAGACACGTTACCTGGCATCTGGAATCTTGTTGTCGTTGTCTGCAGCTGCGACACAAACGGCAGTGCAGCAGTTGAGCCTCTTCCCTGTCGCAGTATCCGAACAAACTGCATATGAGGTCGAAGTCCCTGCGACACGGCAACAAATGCGGGAAGTACCAAACGACAGACAAGAGTACAGACCTTCAAAATGGGGGCAGGGACGTGCAAAGCATGGACGCCCCTGTGCAGTTCATGACCGAACGTCTCTGCCTGGCATAAACTTTCCGGATAAGCATTTTCACGTCTTCCGCCAAAGTGTAGGCACCTCGATGCGTACAGCGATCCGACGACCTTGTGCAACCCCCTGGGGGCCCAGCTGATGTTGTTGCACACATAATTGTGCAGCGTACGAGGCCTCAGGACTGTTGAGCAATCTAAATCCATCACGGCTCTCTTCGAGTCTTCGAGCTCTTTCCAGGGCAACGGCATGGTGATGTTGAAGTATCCGCGCTCCACCCTGAGTGGCTTCGAACAAGGTGGTTTCCACAGCAGCTGCGCATCTTGGGCAAAGGCATGAGTGCGTTGAACGATTCTGGAATTTTTCGATTGTCAATGGCAGTCGTGTTGGCCTTGGCCAGTCAAGTCGAATGACCATTTCGCCTGTGTGCTTCCGGCACCTGCGGGCCTGAAAAGTTGCATCTGAGGCTTCAGCAAAGGGGTTTTCAAAGTAGTCCGCCTACTCGGATCGCAAGATATCTTGCGCTCAACTTCGCAGGTGCTGCTGGCGCCTGCGGCAGGAAGTGGCAGTCGGCTCTGTAGATGTCTCCTTCCAGGACCTGGTCCAACGAGGCAAGACACATAGCTCGACGTGAACATCGCGAGGCACCTTGGGCAGCTCTGCTCGCAAGTAGGAGTTCACATCACAAGTCCTGTACCTGAGCCCGAGAGTGCACCGATTTGCCGGAATAAGGACTTGCAAGGCGAACCAAGGTCACCAGTTCCGGTACTTCTCGCTCTCTCTCTCCAGGTGCCCTTCCCTCAGGGAAGTGTTTTGTCGGCAGCTCATTGTAAAAATCGAGTCGAGGCCAAAAACCTCCGAGAGACCAGGTTGACGAAACTTACGAGACTTGCGTAGCACCAAGAACAGCCGCCTGCGCCCGGAAGTCGTTCACGGCTCTGTCGTACCTGGGTCACGGTGGGGCTACAGATTCCCACTTCAGCTCTACTGCGGTTGCAAGTCCGCGGCGGATCCCGCAGGAATGTGAACGCCGACTTATTGCCGTAATACTGCTGCCCGACATCCTTGGGTAAGTACCTGACAGATTGACAGGCTCACAACTCTACTGCTTTCTCTGTTTGCTCTTTCTGCACTTGGAGACTTGAATCTGAGTGTTGCACTTCGGTGGCGTATAGTACAAGTGGCACCCAGTCAACTTGGAGAAGCCGCGCAGAACGGGATCCTTCGCCCATGTCGCCCGCATGGGTTCTGTGGTTCTCTCAGTCTACAGACGTGCAGCAACTCTTTTCTTCGTCGGTCCATCATGCCCCACAACGGAACATCCGGAGCAGTGGCCTGGGGCATCGGCAGTTCCCGAAGAAGTTGCAGCGAAAGTGGCTCAAAGTGGTCCATTGCACTGAGCCCATGTCAGACCGCATCAGCTCAAGCCCCTGAGGGCAGTTGCAATCAACGTTTCAGGAGTACAGCAGCTTCCGATGCCTCCTCCGTCGTCGTGGTGTTAAAGGACTGCCAGACCTGTGGGCATGTCGGGCTCTGTATGCCCTCTGCCGCACCATGAACTCAAACCGCAGAGGACCTTCAGCCAATCTGATAGGTCAGAACGAGGCAGCTGTAGACCCGCCTGGCAGCTGCAGCAAACGCGGCTGGCTAAGTCAAAAAGAATCTGCCAATGCCTAAACCAAGTATTTTCACCAATCAAATCCCGGCCAGGCTGCCATTTCCACACTGTGACCGAAGGTACACGGCACATGTGTCAGTGCCAAGTCCTGTCCAAGAATCCGTGCACTGCAGAGTGCACCTTCAAAGTATAGTTTCCAGCCTTCTGGAAAGGCGACCACTGTGATGGCCGTTGCAGGTGGTGATACCTCAGACAGATCCAAGTCCGAACCCCTCTGCTGCGAACCTGAACTCTTCGTTCTGCCTCTGTAGAAGCTGCACTTCGTGTGCAACCGCCTCCTCATCAAATGCTTCCTGCATTGCAGCTGTTACAGGTCGCTCGGTCAGCGGATCGCGAGTCGCACCTCGTCTGAGCAGTGACCCATCTGATCCATTGCCTGGCCAGAGCTGTGATGGGCCCTTCCCCATCTTTCTTGTACACGCCAGGAGCACCAGCACCGGAATGAGCCAAAAGAAGCTTCCTCGAAAGGCCTGGGCACGAGAAGACATGGGGTGGACCTCCACCCCGTGTGGTAGGGTCTAGAGTCTAGACTTTGCCACTGAAGGCCAGCTAGCTGCCGACAAACACAGATCCCACGCCTGTTTGGACAGCATCATTGCGTGGGCAGCGCACGAGCATGTAATTTCCCTGTGTTTTCGTTAATTCTGCTTTACTGCCTTCAGACTGCATGGATCCGGAGTTGTGGTACATACTGTGTTCGGCAAAGGCGTCGTGTCGGTTCCTGCAGCACTGCACTTTCTTCGGCTTGCAATATTATGCAGCTGATTTCGCTTCTGGCTGCCGGGAGGGTTGTCCGTGCAGCAACCAGCGAGCCAAATTGACTACGAAAAGAAGAGTTGCTTTATACTAACTGCTCGTGACCTGCAGTGCTGTGTTGCTATGCCATGCTCCAGCCTCGGACCAAAGAGAGTTCCCACTTGCCTCAGGGCGGTTCGTGAGATGGAGGTTTTCTTTGCTGCGCGGAGCTGGGTCGAGAGCGCTCAGGACAGGGTGCATGGAACTCTCCTGAACACCAGCGGGCGTGTCAGAAACAGTCCTCACCATGAAAATTTCATTGCCTCGCTGGGTGTGTAGGGAGGAGGCACCACAGGTCCATCCTGCAATACACAGAGCTTGCCCAGTGCAGCTGCGAGCATCCCTACTACGTGGTCAGCGCCGAGGCACATCGAATCTTGAAAGGTCGCATGTGCTTCCGGTGTCTGCCACTCATTGTGCTGCTTGGCCTGCTGATGCTTGTACGACCGCTGACTCGTGGCATGCCGACGACACGACAGGCGAACACACGCAGTTTTAGTGGTTTAACTTGTCGGCTGAAGATGAGCAATCCTAAGGCCCACAAGGCCCAGTCGTCGAGCAACAATTTCATACCTAGTTTCGCCACCATGCAGATTGGATGGTGACCGAGATTTGGCATCGCCTTCTGCTCATGCCAATTCTGTTTCGCACGAGTCGTGGACTGCCTTCTTCCAGAGTTGATGTCAAAGCTCGCTTCTGTCCTCACCGACAACTTTAAGCACAGTGGCCATGGTTCCGAACTTTCGGAAGATGGAGAGGCGGGAGGCGATGGAACGGCAGCGTCAAGCGTTTCGAGCGAACTCTCATCTCTTAGCGGCCGATCGCCATGTGTATGTCAGCGCACACCGAGACAACGACTGAGAACGGGAAAGCCTGGGAAGGCTGGTGCCGCTTTCAAAAGCTCTGCGTGAGTTCACTAAAAACGAACCCTTCTCGAATATGCTAATTTTGGAGAAGGATATCCACAACACATTGGCAAGTGCCTCTGACAATGGGGTCAAAGGTGCCGCTGCCTGCGATGCCTCGAAATGCATTTAGGCATCGGAATTCCGCATTCTCACGAACCCGTAGCAGGTGGCAGGCATATCCGGATCTGATGCCCTTGGCGAGGCCTGCATGGCGTGGACAGCGTGTAAAGAACGAAAGCTCAGCCTGTGCACCTCGAAGAGTACCTTGGCGTCCTTGCACGAAAGGCGCAGGAACAGGAGGCCGTCCCAGTCCCAGCGCACCGGCTCCTGGGATGTCCTGCGCTCGCTTCGCTCGGTTCGCTCTCAATCCGGAAGGCCTGGCATGGCCTGGCCTCTGACACCCCCAGGGAGCTCTCTCTGCGAAGGCGTGCCATGGCCTTTTCTTTCGGAGCCGGTCAGCCTTCAGAATCCGCGCCTTTTTTTGCAGCGGCCTGCTCCTGTCTTGACAAACGCTCGCGAAGAACTCCAACGGTAACCTGACGGTACGTTACCAGCTTCTCAACGTGTGGTGACACTGCCAACTGGCTTGTGTTGGTGTTGGTGTCCGGCACGCAGCTCGGCAGCATCTCTCTCGTGTCGTTGGCCTCAGCGGGGAACCCTCGGCCACACATGGACTTCCGGCATTTGCGCTGGCCTCGTGCAACCAGTGCCTCCAGATGTGCGCACGCCTGCGGCGTCTTCTTTGACACGAGTGTCTGACAACGATATGTTGCCATGGAATTTGCATTTTTTTGAAGCGTCCCCTCAGCTCCCAACTCTGCTGGATTCCATCGCAGACCGGGCCTGATCTGAGCTCAGTTTGCTCGCTTTTTTTAGCACTCACTCTCGACAAAGCAGGCGAGGCTTCAGTCTGCTCGTTTACTGTGCGGCATCCCTGCCTCGACGCGCGTGCTTTGAATCTCAGCCTTTGTGTAACTTGCGCATGACCGCTGATCCGAAGCATTACTATCATTACTTCGTCTACAATCGCCTCGCTCTTCAGCAGTTGTTCCTGCAGGTCTCTGATGGTGTCCTGGCCGGCTCTGCATAGCAGGAAAGCTGATCAGGGTTGATCAAGGCCTCGCTTGCACAGCTTGCAGCATGGGCCTCTGCCTGCCAGGCTTTCACTCTGAATAGAAAGAAACGGCTGCGATTGTGAACAGCCATCATGTTTTTCGCTCATCTATAATTTCCATTCTGCGTCCAGCAGACACATTGGCATAGATCAGTGATCAAATTAAGCTGCTGCTGCGCCTCAAGATGCTGCGCGAGACGAACCTGTGTAAACAGTAAACATGATCGATATCAGTGACACCATTGCTGATGTGCAACTCATTGCCTCAGCTTTGCTCCGATCGGCCTCCGCCATCCAGCCTGTCAACCAGTATTTCATGACAAGAAACAAGTATGCTTGCTGTTTCGGATGCTTCCGACCACATGGTGCAGCGCTGTTGTGTCTGCTGGCATGTGGTCTCGGATGGTATCCAGTGGAGTCTTGTCAATTTCAGTTCCGGGTGCCGTGTGTGAAGGTCGATCGGCCAATCGAACCGTGGCGCAGCAGTTTTGTGTCACAACGCCAGGTATGGTATGTCTTTCTTCATGAGAATCAGATGAGGTGACGTAAAGGGGGTCCTAGCTACGGTCTCACAACAGCAGTCAAGAATCCGCAGGAGCACAACACTCCTAACTTTATTTGCACACGGTACCACACTTTCTTCTGTCTCACCAAAACAGCCATGCTCTGATATCATGATGCCAAACCGGCTCTATAGCATGACGGAGCCTTCTATGCAAGCTTCTTGCTCTCTTTGCTCCATAGCCAGCTTGGCTTGCCAAAGAGCCTGTGCATCCCAAGTCGGCTGCTCCGTCTTACCGCTCTGTGTACTGGGATCCACACGTTGGTCTCTTCCAGCTCGTTCCGAAACTGCAATTGCAAAGCTTCTAACTGCACCTGCGAGACAAGGCAGGAGCTCCTTTGGAAAGAAATCCGCTGCACAGTCCTGCATCTCGCTCTTCACGGCCTGCTTGATTCGCACGCAAATCGAAGAGCTGCCAACCCTGGAACGCTTTGCCTGCTCTGCTTCGATCCTCGATCGCTTCTCGGAGGCTAATGCCTTCCGGCCAAGGGCACAGCAAGGGCTACGTTGGAGGTTGAACTGAGGCCCTCGGCCGTGCGAAGCTGGTCAAGCAGAGCCGTTGGTGCCAAAGACGCCTGAGATCCAACCGACCTGTGCCGCCATAGCCTCAAAACTGAGACTCTGGCAGGTGTCGGTGCCGGTCTCGCAGTCTCTCTGGAGCCATGAATCCTGGACATTGTCCACTACGAACCTTTCCTAACGAACGAACATGCGGTGCTTCATTGTGACTATCCTCACATGGTTTTCAAGGAGACTTCTGACGCACACATACATGGGTGCGACTTTGGATTGTGCACCTCGCAGATTGGCCAAACGGAAGAAGCTGTGTCCTGGCGGCAGCATTTTCTAGTCAACCAACGCAGAGGGAGAATGGCGACCACACTGACTAAACACTCTTCTGCAAGATCCTCTCCTCCTTTCTTCTCTGCCGTGGCCTGCTTTGTCGGAAGATGTGATGACAACGTGGCAAGTGGCAGCCAACTGACGGTGGCCCTGCACCCAGCCTGTTGCGCTTGCGCTGCTGTGACCTGGAATATTGGCGGCACGATTCTCGTTGCGGACTGTGGCTGGTGGTGAGACCTTGGGCCTCCCGACGCCGCGGCGTCGGTCCAGCGGAAGCTGGGCGGGGGCCCATTCTGATGCCATGGCGACCAACTGTTGGTCTCTGCCACACGTGGGGCCGGGCACCGTGCAGATGGTCCGAGGTAGAGAAAAACCCGTCCCTAGTGTGACCTGCTGGCTGAGTTGAGCTTACAGTACTTAACCCGTTTGTGTCTGCAGGCGTGCGCTGTATGCTCTATCTGCTGATCTGGAAGGGGCACTGCTGGACAGGTGTGCAACTCCAGCTTCCCACCTGAAGAACAAAATATTTCTGAATTGGCAGAGCTGGCATGCCGGTGCACAATGAAAAGGCATCCAGCAGCTAATGTACCGCTGGTGTCTTTTTACACTTCTTGGTTGTGCAGCTAGTGCCGCCGCCGAGCAGTTCAACCAGCTGCACTTAGCTGCAGCTGAACAGCACGCACGGCGCCATGCGGCAAACATGCTAGCTCTCTTGGGGCCAACAAAAGCAAAATCTTGCATGCGAAGATTCTGGTATCTTCCGGCCACCAACACCATAAGTGCAGGCTTTACTGTATCCTTCCGTATGTGTACTACTGGACCCAGCTCGAGAGCCTTGCATTCGCATAAGCTGGGACAGCGCTGATGGCTGCACCAGGTGGAACGTCACTTGCCAGCAGCGACGGTTCTTCTGAACTTCAGCGCCGCTTCAGAAGCGCGAACTTGGTGTGGCATCCAATCAATGCCTGGCACCGCATCGAGCTTCAAATCTGCGCAATACACGTGCCTTACGACTCGCAAACCGCTGCGCTCCTGGTGTTCAGAGCTTCGACTGCAACCTATTTCTGATGATGTCCTCTGCCTCGACCACCTCGGTAGGGTCTGCTCATCAGCCCGGACATGCACGCCGAAGGGCTTCGGAGGCACCGCTAGTTTCTCAGACACGAGCCATCCTGTCAAGTAGCTCCTGGGCAAGACTTCTTTACGGACTCGCGGAGTCATGGGCGTGGCCACTCGCGACTCGCCCGCACGAACAGGGGCCGTCCTGGCATGTGGGGATGTCCTTTATCAGGCCAATGGACTGGCCGCAGGACCTCTGGCTCTTGCAGCCCAACAGACCCGTTGGTCAGAACAACTTTTGCCTTTTAAAGGAGTGCCGAGTCTCCGACCACACTGAGCTCTCGGCATCTCCAGTCTCCTTGTTACAAGCCACGAGGTGTCTCAATCCCACGAGGCCGAAGAGATAAATGCAACATCGCATCAGCGGCCTGGAAAGACTTTCGATAATTCTCACCTCAGCATGTCTCAGACACTATGAGCTTCTGATCTGGTTTCTGCATCGGGCTCGGATCTCAAACAGGACAGCACTGGCATTTGGAGGTTTATTGTTTGGCAAGGAATTTGGAATTTGTGGCCGATCGTGACTTCGCTGGCAGTCTAGGAGACTCCAGCTGAGGCAGACACCCTTGACTAGGTGGGCAATGGCAAAGAAATCCTGCAACGAGCTCGCTGCAACATGCTGGGTGCTGTTGCATTCAGGCTCGCAGCTCACCCAGTGCCGGAAACTTTGGCACTACCGAGCATTATCTCAAACCCTTCCGGTCCCCGGGTTTCTCGGACTCGAGTTTCTGCACCTGCCGCCCAAGCGGTACATGTTCAGAACTTGAAACATGACAAGTGCATAGCGACAGTTGCACGCACGCAAAGTACATCTCGACATCTGCAGGCTCTGGATATTTCGACTGTGCAGTCTCACTCTCAGGAGCTCTCAGGCTCCCGGCGTCTTCGGGGCAACTCGGCCAAGGCGCTGGTGCTGGCCGTCTCGACGATCACTCGCGTGCGCTTTGCAGGGCCAGCCCCAAATCAAGGGCATTGCAATAAGGCCAAAGAGAATCAGGGATGGAAGCGTGCAGCCAAAACCACCTTCATCTTCAGGTTTGCCAAAAGACATCGAGATCTCTGCACGATATAATGGTCCACCAGCCGATCCGGACTTCGGAGCCACTGCAAGAATCCAAATGTCTTGTCCGACTCCCGCTCGAGCTCCCAGAGACTCGTGATCCGGATCTCCATCGTGTTAGCCATGATCTTGCCGGCTCTCAAAGTGGCCCCCGGCTCTGGCGACCATATAGGAAGACACAAAGGGATGCAGCAAGGCAAAGAGTTTGAGCTTCCTCTTGCGTGCGCTGCCGTCGACTCGGGGTGAAGCCTCCAGAGACCAGGCTGCCCCCGTCACACACAGGATATTGCTGTGCCTGCAGCCGAGAAGGCCTCCTTCATATCCGGAAGCCTGTGCCACTGTCTTGACCACAAGTCAAGACATTCCACGGTCTCCACTGGTCCTGCTTTCATCCCTCCAAGCACGTAGACTCGGCCGGTGCACGCGCATACGGCGGGGTCAGTACGCGACTCTGGCATATCAGGGACGTGCAAGCCATGATTGCCTGATGTCCATTGACCAGTCCGCATGTCGAAAACATCAACAGCTCCAATGTCTTCATCTGGAAGCACCATGCCGCCTATCGTGATCAAGTACTCTGCGAGCTGCAATAGGGCGGGTTGCCACCTTTCCCGAGGCATTGCAGGAAGGCTTGTCCACGCCTTTGCGGCCAGATCGCCGCAGAACAATCGTGTACGCTGATCGTCACAGCCCATAGCCACCACACTGTGCAGCCTGTGAACGGACACGGCACTGCAACAGCCTCAGATCAGCGTCATAAGCGATGGTACCATGCACACAAACTGAGTTTCGCAAACTCATGTCCCTTCCGTGCATGCACCGAAGCAAACCGGGCCACTTAAACCCACTGGCAAGCATGACCAGCATTCCCAGTCTCCTCGGCAGATCTAGATGCAACCTGTGCAAGACCCGTTGCACACGTTGGGCTCCAGGCGCCTTGAGCAAGATCGAAAACCTCCACCGTGTCCAGTGGCTGGTCATCATCTGCTTTGCCACCAATGACCTCGGCGTGAAGGACTGGCTGGCTGGCTGCTGTAGAAATCTTGGCCACAACTTGGAACACCGAAACATCCCCAAACACTCTGCTTCCTTCTCTCGAAATCTTCCTTTGCCTACGACGCATGAGAGCTAAGCTGCCATCAACCTCCCACAGCAGCCGACAGCAGCACAGTGGCTCCTGCTCGTTCACTCCTTGGTTGGTGCCTGGCCTTTGGCGACAAACGCTGAGTCCTGGCTGTCGGCATCGGCGACAGCTCCGACCAGGTGCCGTCCTTCAAATTGTAGCATGTTGCTCGAACGACCTTCCCATCCAAATATGGAGCACCGCCACCTCAGGGATGCGAATATGAAACGAGCTTCCGCAAGTCTACACTCCGTCGGGAAGTTCACATTCCACGTGTCAGTCTCTGGTGCTGGCAGGAGACCAACTATGTAGATGTGGTCCCGATAGAAGGCTGCTGCGCAGCTAAGATAGGTGGGCATGCCCTGGCCATCGAAAGAGACAGTCGGATTGGATGACTTGAAAAGAAACGTCACACGCGTGAACGAAGGCATGCTGACACCTGTGCTTGCCCTGCATTCCGACTATCTGTAGGCTCATGCAAATTCACACGCAGTAGTAGCCTTCACGGCCCAGAACCGCACAAGCGCCATTATTGCGTGTTTGCCTGTCGCGTGCCTGCGGAAGTGGCACCTCGTGCCATGTACCGTCCGAGAGGTCTGGACAGTGAAGCAGTTGAGCATAGTCTGCACGCGCTAGTAAGACACCTGCCAATTGACATCTCGCAAGCCGGCAACAAAGGTTTGTTTTTCAGGCGGAAAATCGCCCTCATGGCTGTGATGCTGAGGCATTGCGCTGTTCAGCTGCTCGGTGGGCTTGTGCAATTTCGTGCGCTGCTGGATGGGCATGTAGCTTCACAGCAAGTTCCAAACAGCTGCGACTGCCCTCTAGTTAGGAAACTTGGAAGCTTCGCCCGGCCTGTGATCGGTGCAGCACGTGCCACCTGTAATCACTCGAGCATCGGAACATGTATACATAATCATGCGTATTTCTTGGGGCGAGTTGGTCAACTCAATGCTAATGAAGAGCCCAGGCCCAGGCCTTTGGGAGTGCAGCCTGCACTTCTGGAGCAGCGATGCTGCATGTGGCCGCCAGCGCAGCAGCAGAAGCCACTCCAGCTGCGTAAAGCAGCGGCAGCAACTCTGGACAGGCCTCTTCTGCCAGTAGCAAGTCACCAAGTTAGCACTGCAGCACTGAGGCTCCCGAGTGGGCTCCAGCGTAGGCCTATCACACTTTTGTTCGACAGCTGAAGCACTCCGAATGTGGTCGAGCGACGGTGAGCATGGGTATGAACTGCAGTTCATCATTCGGGTGGATGAGCACCTCTTGCAGGCAGCAACGCGACGACAAATGATCACATCGTTGCTAAGGCTGCTAAGGGTTGGCAGTCTGAAATGCCAACGTGCGGCTCCTCAGGCTATGCGTGGGTTACGCATGAGCTGAACTGTGGCATGAAACTTGGCCCGACGTATATCGGGAGTTACATGTACTCTCAAAGTTAATCTCAAGCCTCGTTTCCAAGTACTAGCGGCCTGCCGTCCCATTTGTTTACACTTTCTGGTGGACGCTCTTTCGGATCGACATAGTACCGGATGCCAAGTACTTCCCAAAACCCTGATTTGAAAACCCCCTAAACGTCTTGTAAACTCAATTGCACAGACGTGGCTGCTGTAGACTGCCAGACAGAAAGGACAGATTCATCCCGAACGAAAGAAACAGCGACTCCATTCATTTTTTGCGAAAAGGGAGATTTTGAGGCATAGGTTTTTCCTACCCCTGAAGACATCATGAGCAGTGCGCTCTCATATCAGGAGGTGGCTATCGACTTTAAAGCGTGACCTGACCGACAAACCTGCAAATTATGCAATGTGCGTGGGAACTGACCCACCAACTCAATAAGTGATGAACTTCGGATCTGGTAGGCTAGAAACATTACAGCACCTGATCCTCTTTCATCCTCTCAACCTGGATGTGAGCCTTGCAGACTGCACAACTGCTAGTCTTTCATGTGCACACCACGTCATTTTGACTTCTTTCTTTCAGGGCCCAGCCTGGTCTTGAGATTGTAGCCTTACCGCTCAGCATATGCTAACGGCTAGTGCCTCGAGCCAAACCATGGCTCCGCCTCTGTGTGTGTACCTGCTGCCCAGTGCACGCCTTTGCTGCATGGTAGCCTGGAAAGATGGTTCAACTACCAAAGTGCTTCGCAGACTAACAAGGGCAATCTCAGAACCAGCAGGCTCTCACCTTGGGTTTGCTCGGATCATCCATCATCCAGAAGCCAGTCTCGCCACAGGCGCAGCCAATGGCCGTCCACCAGGCTGACTATTGACTATTACCTTCCCTCTGCCAGCCAGTGAAGCGGAACGAAAGAACATGAAGGACGTCATGTGTCCACGAGCGATGTCGCAGTGCTCTGCAAATTCACCGCCTCTGCAGCTGTCTTGTTCTTGTACACCCGCTCGGTGTTTTTCAAGCTGCGGAAGACATGGGTTGTGTCCTGCAAGTTGCCCAGTAGCTACGTTAGTTTGCAGCGGAGCTGCTGCCATGTGGAACAACCGAAGCAAAGTCAATTGCGGTACACAGCGGTCCGTCACTTTAGCCTTCACCATGACATCCTTGATGGGCTGTACAATGGGTGCCTTCACCAACATGGGCTACGCGGCCGGACCGGTTCAGCATGTTGTTGCGACAATGCACATGTGCTTCAATGCTGACCGGAAGTGAGCCTCTTTGGTCGCCATAAAGCGTGTCCCCATGTTGATCCCTTCGGCACCTCATCTGTAGCCCACCGGGCTTGGACTCAGCGGCTCGATCTGGGCTCAGACCCATGGCAAGCGCTGCAGCCAGCTGGACGCCTGTTGCAGTGCCTTCCAGGCAAGTACTGACATCCATGTTCGTTCAGGTTCATGGGATTTGGTGTGAGAACCCATCGCTTCTGAAGCAGAACGACTTCAAGCGACTTCAAGGAGAGCCGAATTCGTTTGACGCTTGACTCGCTTGACAGGGTGTGGCCCATCGAGCGCTTCGGTTCAAAGACTTTAGCGCCAAGCAGATTATGCAGGTGCGGACTTCGATTCGATACTCTCTGAGGCAGAGAGTGGTTTGGAAACTGCGGGCCTCCGCTTGCGACGAAGGGAATGGATAGCTCCTGTGCCAGTGCAGCGCAAGACTTTGGGTTTCAGGTCTTGGGTTTCAGCGGCTTCAGTCCTGCGAAGCCTGCGCCAAGAGCACCCAGTTTCCGACGTCTTCCTCGCCTGGGACAGGCTTCTTCGCCCGGTCCGGAGACTGCCGTCTAGATTCTACCAGTGGACAGAACTGGTCGCGTGTCGATAACTCATAGAGGCATGCCTGCACAGAATGCCGGCCTGGATGGCCGCCGCAATCAAAACCGTCCATCGAAATCATGTCAGCACCTTCAAAGGCGACGACAACCACGACCAGCCGGTATGCTGCATGAAATACATCCAGTCTGAGTTGCTTGCCCATCTTCTGTGCCGTCAATGCGTGCCTCACCGCCACACATTTGTGGATGACGAACATGCCAGCGTCCTGGTCCGGATCTGAACTCTCGCAACCGTCGCAAGGCTCTCCGAGACTTGTTTTGCTGTGAACTTGCAAGCAATGTGCCTTGCACTGTTTGATCACCTTCTCGGGATTGCGCCCGGCTGTTTCGACTACCTTGACCTTCTCCTCGATCAACACCTTTCTGCCGACTCTACCGGCTGGAGCCTCTCTTCGTTGCCGCAACTGGGAGCCCGTCTTGCACGATGCCGTCAAAGTCCGGAGGAACTCCTACTGGCAGCAGCCTGAGCAGTCGAAATTACTGAAATTACTCGAAGCCTCCGACTCCGCATCGACAGCAGTCTCTCAGCTTGGCTTGTGGCGTGATGTTCACACCAAACGGCCTCACGGTGCTGTTGGCACGTGCAAGCACTTGCCCTGCAAAATAAAGTGGTCCGAGTTCTCGTCTTGTCTGTCAGCTGGCGGCATTTCCTCGCGCCGCATCGATGTAGTCGACAGCTTGTGGCCCCAGGGGTGCGAAACTTGTTTACTAGCACTTCCTGCCTGATTTCGTCTCGCAAAGCCTCTTTGCCCTTTGGGGGCTGGGCCACCGTCAATGCTGTGATGATCCTGGCGTTAGTAAGTGAATTAGCACTTGTCCACGGGCATGCTCCAACCTTGCGGCACGATGCTGAATGCAAGTAAGTCTCCCCAGGCCACCAGCATTCGACACAGCCGCAGCCATGTTCGCATAGCCCACAAAGTGCATCCTCAGCTTCTCGTACCGGTGATCCGTTCTGCCCATCTGGGCATCGTGCAAAGGCCAAGGTGAAACACCATGGCACGTTGCGGAACTCTTTTTCGCGCGATTATCTGCTGCTCAGCAATCATCTGAACATGCCGCCGACCGCATCACCTTAGATCAGGCGCTGGAGTTCGACCAGGCACAGCTGCCCACGCCATCTTCACCGGTCTTCGTCATGCGGTGCCATGGGGAGCATGCAGCTTGAGCAAACGAGCAGCCAATCTCGCCGAATGGATTTGGGCTGTCGTCAGATTCATCCTCGTAGACAGGCTCGGCTATAGGCTTTCCATACCTGAGTTGCTTTCTTTCTGTCGTGCAGTTTTTTGTTTTTTTGCCTCCCGCCTGGCTAGGACGAACCTACGATAGAGGTTTACGCACGTCAACACTGCAGCCGGGGTGCCATTCGCCGGCCACCCCGAGGTCGAAGACCCATCCTGCACAGAAGTCTGCTGACATGCAGCCCCATCCGATGCCATTCTGTCATTCTGTCTGTTTGAACTCGCGCCTTTGCCGGCCGCCAGTCGCAGATACAAGCGATTCTTGCCGCCTGCTCATCAACCCGAAATCATTGGATCACATGTCAAGAGTCGGGAGGTGATGCGCCACTCCAACAGCGAGTTGCTTTGTCGAACCCAGCTAGGGAACATACGGTTTTTCAGTACATGTCCGATAGATGTCTGCGACTCACCCGCCTGTTGGGATCTTTGCCCTGCGCTTCTCAGCTACGTAGAATGTCTCACCTTGGACAGTACTCTGCGTGCCCAGCCACCGACTTGGCACACGAAGGTGAGAGCTTCACACTTGGAGTGTGAAACGGTTAGTTCGGAACAGGGCCCAGCTTTCCGAACCCACAAACCCATGGCTCAATCCAGCCAAGTTCCTTTCTCGATGACCTTGTCCTCCATCTGCGGTGCATTTATGCTCGGCTCTTTACGAACCTTGATTTTGGTCAAGGCCCGCCACTGCTCACCTTTCCAAGTGTGTCAGTGCGGAAGCTGTTGGTAAGCTAAAGGTTTGAACACGCCGCCTTCTTCGAAGGCAGGGCCCTCAAACAAGTCCGCAACTTGGCCAAACATATCCATATCCTTGCGGGCTGGCTCGTGGAGCTGGCAGGACTCTGCTTGCGATACGGCATCAGTGACAAGCTGCCATTTGCAAAAGGCGTGAATTTGTGAATCACAACGTGCACTGCAGTTGCAATCAAGGCTCGCCGTCGTTTGCTGCAAGCCGGGTGGCTGCTGGAGCATGGCGCGCTGTCGAAATCAGCGGCGCTTGCAAACGGACTCTGCTGCGTGCTGCGTCCAGGAAGGCCCTGAGATTACCGAGGCCGCCTTATCAGCCCTACCAAAGGTACTATGAAACTTTCTGCAAGCATCTGACTCTTCTTGTGTATTGGCATAGACAAACTGGGCCAGGTCCCCTCCAAAGTGCATTGTCCTGAATTGTGTTTTGATGAAATGCGACTAGTGTGTGAGTCTTTGGCTCAAACCATAACTAAACCTAGGACCTGACACTTAAACTCTTAGACCAATAGCGCACGCAGTAAGAGTATGTAAGCAGCACAAGCAACATAAGGGTCCGAACGGAAACACACGGAACTCAAAAGTTTCACTTTTGCCAAATTCTCGGGGGGGGGGGGGGGGGGAANNGGGGTAAAGAACTGCCGGGATACTGTCTTGCCCAGGCTCCGAGAGACTGTGCTGAAGGCCAAGAGTCCAACCAAACTGCATGCCTCAGAGACATGGCTGTGCGTGGTGCTCCTCCCTCCCGCAAAGACCCTGCGGTAGCATAAGGGTCATGGGCCATCCTTCCTGTGGAAACAGCAGTAACATTTCTTTACATCAGTTGTCGCGAGTTTCTGACCTGTTCTATGCTTTACCTCATCTTACATCAGGCCACTGTCGTCGTACTGAAGCAAGCTGGCGGCTGTGCGCCGCTGCAGGCTTCTTGTGCGTGTCGCAGGCCCGGCGAGAGTTTTTTCTAAAGAGCAAGCGACCTCTTACCAGCGTCTATGGCACTGAAGGCATCCGAATCCTCCAAATGCTTCCATGCGAACTACGAAGTACTATGGTCTTCGCCGAAAAGTTTCCCTTCACCTCTTCCGATGACGAGCTGCGCGTCTCAGGATCCGCTCTGGGATGTCGCAGCGTGCTGCCATTTGTGCACTGCTCGTGTGATTTTCGCCGGTTGCTCTGAATCGAATCTTGGTGCTCCCAGCATGCCTTCTTGGCACTGGCAAAGTCACTCTTGGTGAGCCTACCGTCTGTCGCGACGTTGTGGCAACTGCTGCTGCCTACGGAACAACAGCTTTTTCGTCAAGCATAGTGGGCGTGTTCCAACATGTGTTTCTGTGCTGGAATGGCTTCAGCTAGACTGACAGGTTCCAGCCCCTGCAAGTCTGAGCTTGAAGCCCGCCCTGAATAATGGGGTGCCTCAGCCGCTGATCCAAAGTTACCAACATTGTCACTGCGCACAGTGCCAGTGTGATTCTTCATGTCAGCACTCGGGGTTCAGCTTGATGCCCAATGCCTAGGCACCAAGGTACATGTGTCCCATCGACCGTGGGCTCTCTTGGCCGCCTCGGTAAGCTTTGTCTTGAGCACCATGTTGTGCTGCACCTGAAGGTTCAAAGTCGCAGGCCATGCAAACGTGTCGCAGAAGACTGAAGTCGACAAGACTGTACTGCTGACATCTGCTGCCTGCAAGCGTTCGGCAGCCTGTGGCCGGGTGCGCTAGCTGCAGAGCCTCGTGCTGCTGTCAATTTCCGATACCTGTACAGAGGCATCCAGCATGCACCTTGTGGTGCACAAGATGGTTGGGACATGTTGGGACAAAGGCTCCCGTAAAGCTTCAGATTCGAGATCTCCTTCAACTCGACAGTGCGAGCTGCGAGAAGAAGGCAAACGTAGGCATCCGGAGTTCTTGGACACCAGCAGCCCTTGATCATTTGGTGTTGTGTGTGGTTCTTCAGCCCGGTTCGCTTCACCGTTGCCGAGCCGTCCTTTCTCCCTCACCTTCATCCATGTCTCAGTTGCCGCCCTCTGTTTTGCTCTGAGCAAAGGTGCACCGTCCTAACTGTGAAAGTTCTGGTGCAAGCGCCTTGCTTTTTCCGGTCGGTGCGGCTACAAAGAGTGTGGATGCCAAGCAGGTGTTTCTGCTGCAGCGAGGTTGAAACTGACAGACATGCCCCGAGGCTAAACTTCCCCAGCCTCTTTGGGCTAGGCCCAGGCATTCTGCTATCTTCGAACCTTCAGATGACGGTTTATCATGTCAAGAGACGACGCATCGGAACTTCTTCTTCAGCTCCTGGGCCATTGGTAGACAAGAACAACCTTTCCCTTCCAAAGGGTGGCAAGCAGCGACACAGGATGCAAGCTGCACGAAGGCCGACAACACGTCTGGAATGTCCGAGTGTAAGTCCCTATCGGCTCAGCCATTGGCAGAACATACCAATAGACTCGCATTGTGGCATGTTTCTCGTCGTGAGTTAAAATCTTCGTCGTGCCTCGAGCTCAGCATTGAGGTCCGCCTTTCGGACCTCAAACAAAAAGCCAAGAACGTACCTCTTCCTTTAAAGAGGTTCCAGGGTTTCTGAGCTCTGAACAAGAAGTTCTTCATGTTCCTGCTCTTTCTTTGCCAGGGTTCCCACGAGATCCTAGGCAGAACGGAGACAACCAGTCATGGTGAAAGCTTAACACATGCAGGTGAAGCTTGGCTTGGCGCCTCTTTTTTGCGCTGCGCCTTTTGAAGCTTATCTTGGAGGTCTTGTGACTCCTTCTCTAGCCTGGCAAGGTCCCGGACTGTCGGCTCAAACACGTGTCCGCTCTGACGGGGTCCACACACACAGACACGCGCACAAACACCCACACCCACACCAGTGGAGGTCGGGGTCCGGGCTGGGCCGCTTTCTGGTCGAGGTGTTGGCCCTAGGCAATGCAGAAACTTTTGAACCCAGCGTCGCTCACCTGCGAACACAACAAGCAATAAGCATGGTCCAGGGCGAGCCTGGCCAGCATGCTCTTGGAACTCGCTCTGCAAAGTCTGCAGCCGACTGGTGCCTGATGGCCGGGGCAGCTCTCATGTACGATCGTGTGTGGCTGAGGAAAAATGAAGGAAACTCGAAAAACACGAACGTCCCTTATTTTGCAACGTCCGGCGTCGGACAGCTTCGCAGCCGACGAATCAAAGGCTGTGAAGCACTTGTGCACTAACAGTTCTGCCAGCTGGGCAATCCGACCCTTTGCTCCGACAAATGTACAGAAGCACTAATCAGAACTAAATTGACAAATCGGCTATCCTGGGCAATGTCAGTGTGACGGACCCCAGTTAAAGGCAGATGCATCGGATTCCGCACAGACATTAAATGCCGGATCATTGATCATGCCGATACAGACCAGGCCATTGGTTCTTAAGCTGCCTCTCCTCGACAGGCCCCTGCCAGGAAACTGCCACCGAAAGCAGGGAGCATACTTGCCGACCTTTGCTCAGGAGCAGGTAGCGAAGTCTGCATCCCATCCAGAGCCATCATCCTGACATGTCACATCACTATCCCCACACATGATGGACTGCAAGTCGTGCCCTATACGCTGGCGATGTTCCAGGACTTGCCGACCAGCCTTGTATTGCACGTTGGGCGGCATGTCCTTACTTCAAACGTCTTGCAGTGGCACACCGAGCTTTCAATAGAGTGAAACGGAACACCTGCCTCCTTCCGCGCAGCAAAGTTTGCCATATCCTTCTTGCTCTGCACCTGTCCAGCACATCTCCCAGGAGGGTGGCGCAGAGTTGTGCTCGAGCAGGCACCGTTCAGTTCAAGCCATCGCATTCCCACCCTTTATGTTGCTTGGTAGGGACAGAAATGTTGCAGAAAGGGCAAAGACTAACGAACCGCCCTTCTTCGTCACTACTCACGTAGGCAAACGGGGCGCGGCAGCTTCTACAAGAGATTAAGCCCAAATCTACGAATCGTCTTGGGACAGGAGAGTTGAAGAAATGCTGAGAAGCCGCGGCAAAAACACGTCTTACTGCAATCGGGATGAGATGCGTGGCTTCAAAGCGTTTCCAAGTATTGGTTTCTGTGCTGGCACACCTCGAGGATTCTCATTCCAAAAGCTTGACCAAAATCCTCCAGAGCTGAAGCGTTTGGTGGAAACATGGATGGGCGTGGATGGGCTCTCATCTTCCGTGAGCGCCTGTTTCTCAGGCGTGCTCAGCCATACCGAGGCTTGTCGTGTCTGAAGAAGCGCTGCCTGTTGTCTGTGATCTGTAAAGAGCTGTGAGGAACACGTGATTTGACGCCGTGGGTTGAAAAGCAATAGTTGGTGTCAATTCCTGAGCCATGAGAGCGGTTGTGTGCGCCTGTGGCCGACCCAACCTTTGAAGTGTGTAGTCTTCAATGTGTCGTTGGTGCAACGGTTTCTGTTACGGGTCCCGGGGTACATACAGGAAAGCTCTGAGGGCATTGCGGCCCAGCGCAGCCAACACTACATGCGCTTTCGAACGGCCTTCGAGTGTCAACAACCTGCATTGCTCAACTCAACGCACGAGGACGTTCAGAAGTTGATTTACCAAGCCTGAAGAAGGGGAAGCCGCAAGCCAGATTGATCAACGGTTTGTAAACTTTTGGCTGCCGATATTTCGCAAATGACGTCCCTTCCCCCCGTTGTGACGCCATCCCAGACGACTTTCAGGATTTCTTCTCCCCAGCGTGATGCCAGAAACGATGCAACAATACCGCAATGTGTTTGTGGCAGCAGCATGCGACAGACTAGGTCTATGGCTTACCGTCGGCACGACTTGTGTCGGCTGTGCACATGAGTCCAAGAAAGACAGAAAGCCAAGGGATCTTTCGGACTTGATCTTTCATTCCTTCCTTCTGTTGCGTTACGGCAATTCCGCATTGACGAGTGCTCACCCAGCCCCATCGTGCCTGGGGCCTGTATGGTGAAGGCATATTGCCATTGTCGTACTTCTCCCACTCGAAGGTGGTGAACCTGAGCTTGTTCCGGATGTCAATTAGGAAACGGAACAGACCCGACTGGATGCCAACACGCTGCCACGAGTGCTTCCGGATGTTACCAGCTCCGCCCTTCCTCATAGGAAGTCTCTCAGCAGGCTCCTCGTGGAGTAATAAGAATCACTTCTCATCGTCTTAGGACTCCTTGTGTAAGCCTGTTTACTCCTCTATCTGTTACTGCAAATCGAGAGCACATCCAGCGTCCTTCTTGCAGAGATTCTTGACGAGATCCTTGCGAAGCTCCGCAGCACAAACGATTTGCGGCTGGCATTGTCACAAGAAGCCTCAACTACACCCTTCATCTTGTTGGGGAAGTTGACCTTGGTGATGCCCTTGTTTACCTGTGACTGCGGCTTCATGCAGCACTTTCCACATAGAGACTGAACTCACTTACAAGTAGCCTTCTGGTAGATCTGCATAGGGTGCGGTGACCTTATTCTGCAGCGGCACGCAACACGTGATGGCACACTCTGGCGGTGTTGAAGCGTACATGAGCTTGAGGCTCGAAGGGCGGATGGCCTGCCATCAGCTCGAAGCTCAAGACGCCTGATGCTAGGTCGCCAAGTGTAGAGTGCTTGCCAAGGTCATCCGAAGGCGACCAACAGCCAAATCGCTGAGCTCTGCGCCGAGAGTCCACCTGCATGATGCACAGCTTTAGCTTCACGTGTAAATCGTGACCACTTGTGCTAAAGTGATTCCTCACAGTGCAGGCACGGCACCAATCAACGGCCATTGTGTGACCAGCTGATGCGATCATTTCCGGTGCGAAGTAGTCGGGTGTCCCACAAGTGGTGTATGTCCTTGACGGCTGCTACTGCCCTATACTAGTCCTGGAACCTACAGAAGGCGCAAGTGCGATGCGTCGTGGACAGCTCTGGGCAATCTACTTTCCGACCACAACCTTTGCAAGGCCCATGTCCGTCAACTTGATATGGCCAAGCCTGGCAGTTTCTTCGGACGGGGCTTTAACGGTGAAGCCATGAAATCATGGCGGCCGCACTCCGTAAGCAGAAGATTTTCCGGTTTCAGATCACGGAAGATGATCTTTTTGCCGTGGAGATGCTCGAAGGCCTCGGCTGTAGAGAAGCAGTGGTTCGTCACTCTCATTTGTCCCATAAGACCTTGCCAATGGGCATTGACCACACCGGCCACGTAAAATTTGGCGTGCCCCTCCTTGCCGAACAGACCTGCAGCACGATGGAAATTGGAGCATCTCGCACTTTGTCCACCCGCGCACGCTAGGGCAAGCGCCTTTCTTGTTGTAGGTTGCATAAAGTTCGCCTTGTAAACAAGAATTCAAGCTGGATCTAGGCTTGCAGTAGATCAAAGCAGCCTCCCAGTGCGGGCTCCAAGAGAAAGTAGAGAGATTGGGTGCCGTTGTACGTCTCGTACAGCTTGATGATGAACCTGTCTCACAACTCCCTGTCATGGAACTACGTAGTATCTACCGGCAACTTCTTCCTTGCACGAAGAACTTCAGGCTTGATGTCGCACGCCCAAATTGTGTCCAGGCACGGCGAATCGCACATGATCTGCACATTCTTCTCGTTCAAGACCTTGTGGCAGCTGCAGCGAGCAGCCACCAGGGGGCCGTACATGCTTGACATGCAGAAACGAGCAATAAACGTCAGCAGAGCATGAAGCAGCTAGTGACTGGCAGGCACGATGTAGAGGTAACAAACGCGAATTAACATGATTGAAGCTTCAGAATGCCATCTTGGCAGAACTCTGGGATGCTTGCATTTTGCTGCATGCCCGACCTCGGTCGCCACGGACAGGCCCACACGCGCACACACGCATGCATTCTCATGGTCTGTGCGGCATCATGCCATCAAGGCAGAACAACTTCTTCTCAGCAGCGTGCTTCATGACGTAGCCTTTACTGAGAGCCTCCGTGCATGATGTGGGTTTCACAGCACGCAGATGTGTCGTTTTGCCATCTATGTCTATGTCATCCATCGGAGCAATACGGCGACAGGCCTTCAGGGCATAGGTATCGCCCAATGCGGCGTGCTCCACCAACTCCACAGCACCGAAGCCACCACATCCAAGCAATCCAATTCTCTTCCTTACCAATGACATGCAAGTATCGTTTGTCGCAACAAGCGCAACGGTCCGACAGGAAGCACAAATTAGAAGCTCGTACTCAACTCAGGAACCGGCAGATCCTTCCGCAGGATCAATCCAAACTTTCGGGTAGCATTGCCCATAGCGGCAGCGCTGCCGCCAACACTGCGGCCCTTGGTGTGGCGATAGTGGCGCTAATGCTGTCGTATCCATGCGCTTGCTTAGTGTCTATCTCGCAGCACTCCGGACCGATCGAGGGGATGGAGAATAAGTTGTTGGTCTTTGGTGAGCCAGGCATTCTGAACTAAATTGGTTGGCAGCAAATGCCCGTGTGCAAGTGCTGGCTGCTGATCGGAACCACGAACCGGAGACTACAAATCCCACTACTAGCACTGCTGTCGGCGAAGTCGCAGCCAGCTTGCTCTTTCCACCTCGGCCCCTCCTGAGTGAAGCGTGCACAACCTTTCGGTGCCTGGACCATGTCATGCCGTCAACACACCCAAATCATCAAAGCGTCGTCTGCAGTTCGGCAAGTGGTCCAAGGACCATGTCAAAGGACTGCCGGTCCACCGTCAGCGTCTGCAGGCTGGGCAAAGTTTGTTGAACTGAACTGTTGTCGTGACAGCTTTGTACAATGGCAAACCGAGATTAGCCAGCAACTGGCTTTACTCATGCCCCGTCCTTGGCTGTGTCGGAGATCACCTGCAACGTTGCCTTAGCTCCATTCCGCCCTCATGCGATACGCTCCATCAACGAACCCGTCTGACCGTGTCCCAGTGCAGCTATGCCGCATTTCGCGGCTCGTTGCTCAGCAGAGCCCTGTCTCCTTCGGGCTGGACAGCTTCAGTCAGTGGAAGCTAGAGCTATGCGTTTTAGTGCAAGCCAGGGGACCGAAAAACGAAGCCTTCTCCGGTGTCGCAATTAGCTTTGTGACCTCTCTTCCGTCTTTCACAACGCTGACCTGCAGCAAGGACGCCAAGGACACGCTATGCACTCCGGACTCCTTGCTGCTCGATCTGCAACTGCCCATCGTCCGGTGCAGCACACATGCATTTGGCTATGGCCTGTCCCTCAATGAGAATGTAGAAGGCGTCACCTGGCAACAGCTGCACTTCAGCTTGGGCTGGCATCAGTCGCAACGGCTTCCCTCGTGATGTCTTGGCTCCTATTGCTCGTTGCTCATGGCATACTGCCGGACCCAGCACTTATCTCAACGTGGATCTGGTCGCCTTTCTCTCCCTGTTGGAAGATCACTTCTCCGCGACTGAACGACCTTGAATGGTGCAGGAATGGTGTCATTCTGTAGTTCGGAAGGCAACAAACACTGGATTGGATGATCTTGGCTTTCATGGTTGCGAGTCAGAAAAAAAGTATGCCTTTGTGGCTTTGCCGTGTCCAGCGACTGGTTTCCAAGTTTGGGTCAAAGTCCTGGGAACAGGCAAACTTGCTATGACCGAACCAAGCCCCTCTTCCCTCCAGACAATGTGTACCGGGCACCTCCCACAGATGCAGCAGGGACGCATTTCAGACAAGCTTTGCGCAACGGCCGCTTTCTCGTCGTCCTGTTCCAATCACACGAAGCTTTCCGTCTGCTGACTTTTCCATCGCCGGGCACCTGTAGTGGCGCCAAAATCTCTACCTTCAGGGGATCCAGGCATCGATTCCGTCGCGTCGCACTCTCGGGTCAATTCTCGTCTGTCTCGCAGCCTTGTCCAAATACTTTATGTACTCCTTGGCCGTAGCATTGGAGGATTGTGCCAGAATCTCCTGTGACCGAACATGGTGAAACGGTGCATCCCAAGGTGGCAAGTTCCAAAGGCTCAGGGGTAGTGAGAGTCCTTGAAGTTCTTGCGGTCGATAACCCACACCATGGCGTCTTCTGCTGCCTGGCAAAACCCTTCCCCTGCACTTCCCCTTCGCTGTGAGCACTTTCCATGAGGGCACCGGCCTGGATGGTTGCTGCACGTGGGGCAAAGTAGAGCAGTGCCAATTCCCCAAAGCTTCCGCCTTTTGGAATGGATGCAACCTTTGTCCATGTCCGGACATGTCCTGTTGTCGACAGCTCTGCAGCATTCCGAGGCTGCAGCCACCTGTGGTCCGCCCTCCTCTGCGGTCTTCGACCCTCCTATGACGACGTCGAACTTCCCTTCCTGTGATGTCATGATTGTGCCCCAGAGCAAGGCGTGCAAGTCGTGGCACAAACCCGTTTCAGCACCGATCCTGCACAACGTAAAAGTAGTCCGCGTTTAAATCACCTTCCAGAACGCCATCGTGCTTGAACGTGCTGTGAATCTCAAAGTCCCAAGGATCAGAGAGCCGACCCGCTGCTGTTGCACACCCCTCCTTCGGTGATCAACTTGGTGCCAGCCGTCACCTCCTCCTCGCAGGTGGCTGGCAAGGGTCTCCGAGACTCTTGCTTCTCCTCTAGTTAGATGTCATCGCCTTCCAGGCAACCGCAACCATCTGAGAGAGGTTGGCGTCGCTTAGCGATACCTTAGATACCATGCAGCGACCCGCGACTCAGGACATATCCCCGTTTCTCTGGCTGTTTGAGAGAACCCTAACATGCTTGACGGACAAGGTTCAACACTCATCAGGTTGTCATTCTGCTTTAGTGCCTGAAGTGGAGCTCTCGACACAGCAGACACTAACGTCAGAGAAACGTTCCGGCCTCAATCATCAGCTGCTTCTCTGCATCTGTCTTCGCGCTGGGTGGCTTCGTCACCAGCTCCTTGTGGTGCAAAGGGCTTCGCCAGGCTTGCTTCTGGCTTCTAGGAGTATCTGGCTCTTTCCTTTTAAGCTCTTTCAGCCCAGCACGTCTTTCACGAGATGGTGCTACATTATCCGGCTGAGAACAATTAACAGTCCAAGGTCACTGCATTCTGCGACCTATAGAGGAGAATGGCAGGCTGTCGGTGATTGCCATTTAGCAGCACCTGCGCGATCCTGCCGCACCTCTGCTAGCTCTACAGTACCGGTCGCTTCAGTCCGCTTCAAGCGCCCAGTTTGCCGACCTGCAGGCATGCATTTCCCACCCACAGAAATTGAACCTCTCCTTCTCTCCGGGTGATGAAGCAGACATGTCGCTTCTGCCTGGAAAGGCATCGAGCTTCCAGTCGGTGTGACCTGCCGGCAGTCCCTAGATGCAGGCCAGCACTCATTCTCTCCTCATTCTGTCGCCGAGCATGTTCTGGATGTTCTAGCTCATCAGCACCGACAACTTCCGAACTGTAAACGCGCGCGCCCGAGCGTCCGTCGAAGCATGCCTGCATGTTATATTTGGCCCTCAGCTTCTCCTGCTCTGCCTGGCAGCTAAGAGATAAATTCAGGCTCAGTGCTTACTGCAATCGAGTGGGACACGTGCTGCACTTCAATTTCGAATTCCAAACCTCGCGTGTATCTTTTGTCTTCTCGGTGTGCGTGGCGTCTGCCTGGTAGCATCGAGCTTCACCCCTCAGTGCGTTCAAAGCTGCTTCACTTCCATGGCATTCCCATGGGCCTGTGCATCCTGAATCTTTGCGGCATCTCTCTGTTTGGAATGCCTTGGCTACAGTCCATCATCACACGCCCTGCTGTGCACAGCTTGCCACTGGATTTGGCACGAAACGACTGTTTGTTCATCGCTGTGTAAGGCGAGATTCCGATGCTTGTGTCCGGTGCGCATAGTGTGCTTGGAGTGGGTCGTCTGGCTCTTCGTAGTGTCCTTGCAGGACTCTCTCTGCCAATGAGGTGCTGAGGCAACACCCGACACAGCTTCAGGCTCCAGGATTCAACTTGGATTCCCACGTTTGGTGCAAAGGACAAGTTCTCAGCTTTCCGCACCGCTGTCTCTCTGTCGACGTCGCGCTGCTCGGCATTTGGACTGAGTAGTGCGTCATGGCTATCCTTGTTTGAGACAGGGCCACAGAACTAGAACCCTCTGCTTCAAACTCACCAGGTAGAAAGACTGTGCTTTGGTCTCAGTGGCTTGTGGAATCAAGGGAGCTGCCAGCCTGCCTTCGCTTGCCGACGGAGTCCGACCTCCTCTCCTATGACAAGATGGCTATGCAACATCGCAAGTCTAGTGGGGGAGCAATGCGAGCATCCGTCGCCTTCTTTTTCTGCGCTTGTGGACAACCACCTGCAGGCGAAGCAAGACTCTGTACCCGGCAGCGAAACGATGTCTGGTCAAGCCTCCACTGGGTCGTTCACATCATTTCCGACATCTTGGTGATACTCATCGGCATCTGCTTGCTCTCCAAGTCTGCCAGAAGAATTCCTTGGCCAGCTTGGATTTCCTTCCCCTGCCACCGGTCATGGGAGGCTGCATCTTGCCGTCGAGATTCCCAGAGCTATTCGTCGCATTGGTGCGGTTCTTCGTATCTTTATCCCCACCTCTCTTGTGCTTGCCTGCTTCCGCAGCTCGCCGGGATGACGAATTACCTGAAATATTTCTCTCACTCTGTCCACTGATCGCAGTAACTAGGCAGCAGCGCCCTGCTAGGGTCCGTTGAACATCTTCTAGTGATTCTGGTGTTTTCCTTGCCGGAGCACGGAGCCACAAAGCAGCCTCTCGCACAGCCTTGCTCAGCAAGGTCAAATCCTCAGGCCATGGGGAGTCAAGCGTTCTAAAGGTACCATGGAATGACTGGAGCGGCACGATTGCATGTCCTCGTGCACAAGGCGGACAGCTTGGCTCATCTCCTCCTCGAAGTCCACTGCCAGTGCAACCCCTGGATCACAACAAAATGTTCCGCTCAAGGGCGCAAACTCCGTTCGAACTGTGTCCACGGCCTCGATCTGTGACCAGCTCCCAGGTTTCGATGCCGGTCTTGGGTATGAAGCACCGGCGAATATCCGCCAGCGTGGACACTGGGCAGCCTCACCAGGGCACAGCTCTCCCGGTGCTGCAAAAATCCGTCAACGCAAGCACTTTGCAATCAGGTTGCCGTTGATACTCTCAACCTCGGACACATGTGTAAATGAACATCCTTCGTGATCATGCCTTGCACCCCTGCCCAGCATGTGCCCAGGCACGATCATTCCGGTGCCCACAATCTCTTCGCAACTAAAGCCGGAAGCACAAGATGTGATAGCGACGCGAGGGTGAAGTGTGTTCTCCTGGACATGCTTCGAGGCTGCAAGGCCGGCGACAGGGCGATGTTGCCCAGAAGCCGAGCCTCCAAGTAGAATCTCCCCAAAGTTTCACCGCCGAGCTGGGCAATCCACCTGTTGCTGAGCCCACCGTATCCCTCCCAGCATGCAGCAAGCAGGAGAAACTGGAACAGCAAAGGACATCGTCACAACAAGCGACGCATCAATGTGGTTCAACGTAAGCTGGACCATTGTTAGCCCAGAGAACCATTCCTCACACAGAACGGCGAGTTCGACAGGAAGCATGGCCGCAGTATCCGGACATGTATCGGCATTGTTGTGAGTGCAACCCCAGGCCACCTTCACGAAAAATCCATGCGGTAAAGCTGCGTAGTCTTTTGCGGTTTCGTCAAAGTTGGGCTCATACAAGTAGCGGACTCCTCCTTCAAACCGGCTGCTGTTCCACTTCCTTTCGCGTGATGCTGCTTCGAGATCGCACCCAACAGAAACTGCATGCATTTCGAACGAACAAGATGCAACATCTGTGGCCAGTGGCAGACTCAGACGGTGCTCGGCTGAAACGCCATTGGTGCCTTATATATCTCATCATGTAATCATGTAAAGTCACAACAGAGCCTTCAAATATTTTCGAATCACATAGATGCAAGAAACTCAAGCATATCAAAGCCAAGCATTGCACATCCTTTGCCCCGTGTATGTGCAGCTCGGATGCACGTAGTCACGGTTACAACGTCGTCTAGGTGCTCCCGGAATGTAAGCAAATCCTTGAAGCTGACGTACTGCTGCATGTAATCGAATCCTTGCTTGCCAAGATGCAACGAGTAGATTTCGTCTTGTTAGGCATGTCGTGTTTTGGGGAATGCTGCGTGTGGCATCAACAGGGTTCGAGTGGCTCTTGCCCATTCCGAAGGTGTCCAACTCCGTCTCGTCCTTTGCTGGGAGTCGGGGCTCAGGTATGTACGAGCTTTTGCACGCTGAAGACTGTCTGAGGCGTCCGCCACTTTGACCAAGAAGCTGCCAGGCTTGATGGGTGGGTGGGCCCAGCGGAAGAGTGAGAACGGCATGAAGCGATCCTTAAACTTACGACTTACGAGGGATCAGAGCCATCTCGAGGCAAGCCCAGGCAGGCAAGACACCAGCGGCACACCGCTCTTGCAGCCGCTTCTCCTCAGGTGCGCCTGTGCCATACAAGACTGAAGCTATTCTCAGACGATGCAGCACAACCAGCAGGCTGACCCAACGAAGCGACAACTACACTTAGTCAAGCCTGCGTGGCCTGTGTGTACACCACACCTCATCTTCCATCAGTCCATTACGCACATGACTGTCTACTTGCAGCAAAAGTTAGGCTGAGCACCGACGGGAGCGATGCGCAATTCCATGTGACGCCTGTGGAAATCACAGATACACCTTTCACTGCCCCCAGTCATATATATATATATATCTATATATTAAATTTATGTGTGTGTATATATGTAAACCAGCAAATGAACAAATGCATGGCGATATCTACATCTATGTCTATATTGTAGCTGTCTATCCACCTGTCTATCTATCCGTCTATCTATCTATCTATCTATCTATCTATCTTTTCCACATATTAGTCTTATTGTTAATCTTCTTCTCCTTATATACACGTACATACATACATACATACATACTTACTTACATACTTACTTACATGCATACACGACCGACAGACAGAGGAAGACAAACAGATAGACGGACAGACATGCATACATACATACATACATACATGCATCCGTAAATGCCATATATGGTTGTGCGCTGTGCGTTCTGCGCCCCCCCCCTCCCCCCCAATGGTACGGGTCTCAAATACAAGGGCCTGGACCACAGGGGGGAAGGGCGGGCGGGGGTACTCGCACACAGATGCCAAACCACAGGTCCGCGGAAGCGGGTTGTCTCGTTCGTGGCACAAACCAGGGGCGATGGGCGGGGGAAACGAAGTAGAGAAGAGGACACGCAAGGCAGCACCCCCACACGGGGACAAGAACATATAGCACTCCCTATCCAGGACAGCACATACGAAAAGAGAGCCGCACCTGTTCCACACGAGCAACGCGGAGTAAAAGTGGTCCAGTGTGCGTGTGTGTGTGTGTGCCCTTACGACAGCACACACGGTTCCAGACGCAGAAGAAAAGGAAACCCAGTCCTGTTCCACAGGGGGGGTGGGGGTTCTCCTTCCTGTCTACGCCGGGCCATACATACACCAGCACATGTGTGTGTGTGATATGTATGTATGTATGTATGCATGCATGTATGTATGTGTATCTATACACCGGGGCCATACTTACACAGGCACATGTGCGTGTGTGTTTGCCCGTGTGATCCATTAGAAACGAAGTTCACGCGATCGCACCACTTCCTTAACAGGACAGCACACAGGGTTCCAAAGGCAGAAGAAAGGGAAGTCCTGTTCCACAGGGGGGGGGAGGGGGATGGAGGGGGGTTCTCCTTCCATCTGGACCCCACACACGGATGGAGAATCACAGAAGATGCGGAAGAACCGCAGACCCAGGGCCGCAGGAGAAGGATGTCCCGTTCCACAGGCGGGGGGGAAACATGTATCGTTATGCCTGTGTATATTATTGCTTCCAAACTGAACCATGGGGGGGGGAGGGGGGGGAGGGGGGGGGGGCCCGCCGGGGCGCAACCATAGAAACGTGCATACGTGCATACATGCGTGCATCCGTACATACATACATACATACATACATACATACATACATACATACATACATACGTCCGTACGGACTTACATGCGTACATACATACAAAAATGCATGCATACAGGACGTACGCATACAAATACATTCGCAAGCACGCACTTCCACACGTCGGTATTCAGAGAACCGCAAGAAGCTAACGTGGTGGGTCCTTGTTCCGCGACCGAACTCGTCTAAGGCTTCCTCACAGTCTGTTTGACCTCATGCTTCAGTCTGTAGAGTATATACCAGGCATGGCGCAAGCAAAGACCGCAAACCACGATGCACCGATATTTGCGAAATGCAACTTGTGCGATTTCCCGAACAGGGTTTTGCCAAGCTGCGCATCCTCGCGTATGCCTAGGATGTCAACTGGCCCGCTTCCGGTGACAAAAGCCGTCACAGCTGGTCTTTCACACAGGAGGCATTCAAACCAACCGCAGTTCCAACTCAGGCTTCCAAGCTAATACAAATGCCCCTGAGCACAAAGCTTGGCAAGATCTCAAGAAGTCTTCCAGCTGACAGGGCAAGCGTCGGCCAAGATCTGGACAATGCGAAACGCCGGCACCTCGATCGGAGCTATACTGTCTTGTCTGGGCAATCGCAACATGGTGCCCTGGATGTTTCACAGGGTCTGCGTTGAAAATGGTCAAGACTCTTGATCCTGCCGATGGCGAATTCATTCCTCGACGAATGTTGCACTGTCACATGCTGTTCCTCATACTATTGCGTTTTGGAGAGGAGACTGCTTCGGACACTGAACTCCCGGCTTTAATTTTGAACGCCGTGCCAATTCTTTGCTGTGCTTTCTCAGGTCGCGCAGTCTCCGACATTGACATGCTTGCGACGCCACTGAGGTAGGCACGGCATAGTTCAGATTCTGCGCTGATTTGGATGCGGAAGATGCAAAGTTCACACCCACAACAGTGTCCAAAGTGGGCTTCCTCCCTTCAGCATCGAAGTTGGCCGATCGGACCAGGCTGTCTGATCTGAAGACAAGCAATGGACCGCCGCTGTTCCCAGGGCTGATCGGTGCAGTGCTTTGATAGACCATGTTGTCTTCAACCACCTGCCATCTTCTCACTAAACTCAAAAACACTGACTTAGTTGCATGGGATATCGTTGGCCTCAGCACCAGATACCACGCCCTCGCTGAGCTTGAGCCACTGGCTCCCTGCCCGGGATCTCGACATCCACAGAGTCTGCACTGCACTGGAACGACCCTCCACCGTGCCTAAGGGGAAGCCCAATGCCGCCACGCGCATGCCCATCTTCACATTCCGTGCTTGCAACTTCAGCCTCGAATCCAGTTCTTTGCAGCAGCCAGCGGATCTGCGCAACGACCCCTCAATATAGGCGTTGGACAGAGAAAGGGTCACATTGGCGAGCTTCAGCTTCTCCCTCAATTCCGTGGGATCCTTCAACTTCACGATCCTTGTGTTGTCATGGCATCGGGCTAGTCTCGCTGGGGCCACTTCTGTAGTCCCGCCCTATGTTTCCCCTTCTCTGAAGCTGCGTGGCGCCAAATCGAACTGGAAGCAAATCATGGGCACGGTGGCATCCTTGTGCGGCACGCAAACTGCATGTGGCTTTGTTGTGCAACTGCCCGCTCCAGACGTCGCACCCTAGAGCTGTAGGGCCACTGCGAAGAGATGTCGCCCCAAAGATGGGAACTGCACTCGGACCTCGGGGTTTGCGAATTGGTTTTGCCAGTGTGTTTTGCTTGTGAGAGTCGCTATCATCGCTGGTAAACAAGGCTCAAGCAGGCTACACATGAGACAGCATCAGCAACAAAAGATGACAGTTGATCGGCCACACGACAGGGCGACATAATCTTCCGTTTTTTGATAACTCGGAAGTTCAATTGCGAACCTCCTTGGAGCCGTGCGCTAGTTTACAATAACGAACCTCAGCCAAACGCACTACGAGTATATACTTTGAACGCGGCTGTAAATCTGGCAGGGCTGAGTCCAGCACGATGCCAGAGCCCCGCACCACATGAGCATTGGTGACTATCCTTGCACACTTTGCATTGCAGAGGCCTAGTTGACGAATCTTAAGGAGAGCGTTGCCAAATTAGGTTGGACAAGGAAGGCTTCGGCAGCGAACTCAAAGAAGCGGCTCAGCTGTCTAATCACTTGCTGCAGGCCCCTTTAAGGAGGCCACGTGTAATCATCGTCGCCCAGCATAGTTGTGTTCTCATCCACCTGTCCCCGAGACAGTCACGGTTTTGGCCCCATGCGACTTTCGCCAGCTGGGGCACCAGAAATCCGCTGCCGACAGACTCCTGAAGCCCGCCATCCTGCTGGTGTTAGCTCTGATCATGTCTAATCGCTGTTGCAGCGCTGATCTGGCGCCGGATCCTCGTAAGGCTTGTCCATGTCTATGCTCCTGTCCACAGTGCTGATCCGAACCTGATTTGTGTCTTCAGCGGTAAGAGGTGAGTTGTCAGGCAGCGCTCACTTCAACATTTAAGCGCCGGACGATGGAATACTTGAGCGCACCTGATGAACGTAACATTGGTGGTGTGCAAGTAATTTGCGGTCAATGGTGAGTCTTTAGTGCTGTAAACCCTGCATGACAACTTACAGCAGAAGGCTCTAATTCAAATGTAGCCATGTGTCTGTAGATTGCCGGGTTCCAATCTGCATAGTAAGAGCCCAAAGGTGGAAGGCTGTCATCAGGTCCTGGCATTCATGGAAAGAGAGTGCAACCTACACCCGCTTGCACTTCGACTCATTTGCTGACCGAAATCTCTACAAAGCTGACTCTCAACCACGCTGGGCTCCTGATCCCGCCTGTTCTTCGGACTTGTCTTTGCCATCTGACCAGGAACAGGGAAGCCCACAACCCGTTGGAGCAAGCCCCTTGGGGCAGAGCAGCATTTCACGCTTCAAGAGCAGAGCAGAACCCTGGAATTCAAAACGGCTCGCTGTGCCATGCAGGCCCTGCTGGCCTGCAGAGAGCGTCCTGCCTGAGAAGGTAATTTGGGGTGTTTGTTATGCCCACAGCCGGATGCGATCTGAGCCCTGAGTTGCAAGCGAGGTGCCGTGATTTCCGAATTTCACCGCAGTTTTGGACCGAATGCCCCGAGCTGGACGTTCAGCTGCTGACCGAAGGCGATCTCGCCTTGCAGCCGACAGTCTGGGACGCCGGGAAGCTCAAAGATGTGATGCCATGACAGGCAACGTGCATGACTGTGGAAGTCTGATATAGTCCAGGGCACTCCACATTTTCGCCTTCCATCAGGGAGTCAGCCTGAAACTCCAGCTGCGGCGGCAGGCAGTATACAGCATGAATCAGGATTGGCAAGTAAATGGCTGTCCCTGCCAAGATTCTGTGGTGTGGCTTGCCAGGACGTGGTCAGCAGACGTCAGCAAGCTCTTCTGATCTATAGCGCTTGCGAGACTGCAAACCAGCAGAAGCCAGAAGGCTTTGTGCTTCCTGGGATATGTGAAGACCCAACAGCCGCTTGAGAGCAGGGTGCGATGCCGCAACTGAGACCGCTGCCTCATCTGTGCTCCGGGAGCCTGAAGAAGCAATTGCAACTTCAAAAACGAGGCAATCGCGCCAAGGTACAGGAGAAGCAACAGTGCACCCAGCGAGCCTCCAGCGCTCAGAGGTGCTCTGCTCAGGTTTCTTGTGGCATCCCAAGGGATTTGACAAACTTCGCATATGGAAAGGCTATTGAGCCACAACTTGCAGCACACTAGGAATTGGATGTGTTGTGCTGTGAAGCTCGTCGGCAGACGCACCAGGATGACAATGTATGCTGAGGTCCGCGCCTGCTTCCCTCCACCACCGACAGCCTTCCGCTGGGGGAATTCCAGCTTCTCCCTGCGCCCAAGCTTCCGAAGTTCGCGGCGCGTCCCTTCCGCATCCCGGACTACTTTGCCCGGGTACCTCAGGCCCAGAAGATCGAAGCGATCACGCCCGATTTTCAACGCCTTCAAATCCTCAGCATCCCAGGGTTATGATATCACAGGACAACCCGGTGTGAGGATTCTTGACGATTTGCCGCCGGATTACATTGGCGGATATTTTGCTGCTCTCATGCCTGGCCTGCTACAAGTAGTTCGCAGCTGCTACCCTTCACAGTCACATGATGTCACATGTGAGTGCACATCGCGACATTCTACGGCAGCTCCCCGCGGTGCAACCCCCGTCCCACGACACCGAGATACACCGAGCCTCGAAATCCAGAGTCCAAAACACGCGTGCTTGCGAAAGTGCGACGCATCGAAACGCAGCTAGCTCTTCTTATCTCCTCACACCTCACCATCGTCACGATTCGAGTGTCTATGTGAAAGCTGCGCAGATATAGTTGGGAAGTCAGATCATTTTTGGAATCTCTCTCCTTGTCCCACAGATCCACACGTGACTAAGCATTCCACTGTCTTGGCAGTGATGGTAGCTGTCCGCGGCTCATTTCTTAAGAGGGCATTCTCGCCGAAGTAATCCTTCAGCTGCAGGCGCATGTCGAAGAGACGGCCAAGTCCACAACCAGTATGCCGAGCTGCACTAGCCTTCAGCGTGGCAACCTGCAATGCTGAACGTTGCATGCAGGGATAAAGCCAGGGTTTGAGACACAGAGAAATCGCCTTCTTGCCGTTGACTTCCACGTCTGCCTCACCAGCTTGAATGATGAAAAACTCGTCGCCTGAGTGACCATGACTCCGCGTCAACGGAAACCTCGGGCTGCATCCAGGGATCTAGGGCCCTTGCCGTCATCGCCCTGGCAAATGATTCGCGCCTTGGGCTTGTACTCTGCCGGAACACCTCGAGCGAGCAGCGCAAGCCTCAAGGACCTGCAAACATGGCTAGAAGCTGCGGAGTATGAGCTTGGGGCAAGCGGAGGCCAATGTCGTATGAACTTCCTCGACATGTCGAAGCACTCGTTTGAAACCACAAGCGAACCCATTGCTGTAGAACTGGAGGATTATGACCGGTCCTTCGGCAAGCGCTGAAATAGCTTTACCCGGCTAAGGAATTTCAGGACAGCTGCCTCCTCAGAGATAAGCAGGTGGTCAGCTGGCTCACAGGCAAGCACTCACGTCACAGGGGGGCTTGCGTTAAGGACTGGCTGAGCATTTGCCGCGCCGACGGTCTGCTTGGCAGCTGCATCTGCCTTCATTGCAAGGCTGTTGCGGCAGACTTTTTCAGATTTGTGTGCGGCGCCTTCTCGCACGAGGCACACACGGCGCCCATGCCCAGCCAGCCCTCAGTTCATCGCATCGTTTGTGCTGCTTGGAAGGGGCTTGCAGGTGCTTAAACCTGGATCTGCAACCAAGGCACATGCACAAATGCAATCGACCTCAGTGGTCTCGCAGCCTGTCTCTTACGTCCTTTTCAGAATGCAAGCCGAAAAGCTGAGGTTTCAACCTGCGGCTATAATACCAAGGCCGCAGCTACAGAGCCAACTAAGCTTTGGGCACGGTGAGTCTTGACTTCTGAGCGGGATGGGAAGCCGAGACTCGCCGTCTAGACTTACACAAGCTCTGTTTGGGCACCTCCATCCTTTTGACATCAGGAGACTCTTTGCTCGTGTTTGTTATGTTGCTACAGAACCACGGTGGGCTCAACCTTTGTCGCTAGACGTGTTGCTCCAACGCGTGGGTATGGCCGGGGATGGAGTTCTGGACACTGCTTGACACGGCTGCAAGTGGTCGAGAAGTCAGCGCTCCGCAAGCCGGGCTACACGGTGCCGTGGCTTCAATAACTTATGGGGCGGTGCCCCGCAGCCTGCAGCTTCCGCTTCAGCATGCCTCGTTCAGGAGGCATAGCAGCAACATTTATGACTTCTGGCACATGGCATCTGCAATGCTTGCCTGGTTGTCACGGCTTTGAAGCCATCTGCATGCCTGGTGGGAGGTCGGATCTGTGCCACGAACAGCCGATCTTCGAGCTCAGGTCCGGTCCGAGTCAGTTCGGAGTACAGCTCTGCTGCCCTTAGCACCGTTGCAGGCTGCGGACCCCAGTTGCACATTTTCGCTCGCTGTGGACGTGGCGCATTCCGAGTCTCCTGAATGCTGCTTCGAATTTCCTGCGGCAATTGAACGTGCCAGGCAGATGAAAAATTTTACTCGTCAATGGCCTCCCAGTGCACGGCGTCCAGCTGCAGTGATTCTGTCACTGCCGCGCGCTGCGCTTCTGACCTCGGAGGCTTCCGAGACAATGGCTTGGACAAGCAATGCATCACGACAGTGAACTGATTGCAAACTTCAGCCTTGCCGGTGGCATCTAAGGTATAGGCTCAGCCAGCGATGCCAGCAATTCACCATCGTATTGCCTCGCATCGCGCATGTTGTCCGCCCGTTCTCACGAGTTCCACTACCCCCCTGTGATGAGAACGGATTTGAGCTACGCACTCTTGCGACCAAATGTGTGCTCGCAGTTCCTGTGCGCAGAGAGGGGAGGGAGATGTTAATCTATGGATCTCTCTCGTGTCACGAGTGCCGCATCTTTGCCGAAATCCTAAAGTACAACGGCCAATCCCCATACACCGACCTTTGCTAGGGATGCGATGTGGTCCCGACTACCCTTACCGGGCTACATCCAGCAGTGCAGCAAAGCACGATTCGTCTGGTGGTGTCACACAGATCAAGGGATCATGGTCGAGCACAAGTACAAAGAAGTCAAGGCTGGGAGGTCAGAATCAAACGTAAATGACTCGGAAAGCTCAGGGTATCGCTGCACCTAGTCTTGGATAGATTATTCGGATTATTCCTCTCTGAATTTGAAATTCGCTCGGTCGGCAAGCCACCACATGTAGACATGGGGGTAGCCTCTATGCCAGTACGGCAAGGAAGGCTACGAGTCTAACTGGACTTGTCAAGAAGATCTGGTTGGAGGCTAATAGCGACCCTTGGAGATGCGGGTACACTCTACGCTATACTGAATAAACTTGCAGAAAGCACTCCCAATGTGCCCGTGGCGCATCACATGCGTCACCGAATGCATATCGCTCGACCGTGCTTCGCCATACATTTGCATTGCGCCAGGTCGGCAGTGCTACTCAACTCATGCTGCTCTTTTTAATGACTGAAACTGAAATAAGCCGGGGATTGCCGTGACAAATCTTGACGTGAGCCTACGATGCCAGTCTTCAGCACTTTCAGCGTTCATATCTCGTGGTTGCAAGAAGCAAAGCACGAGTTCTTTGCTTGCCCTTTCTACTTCGGAGAAACTTACCGAAAACATTTGGCTCAGGCAGTTGGCAAGTGAAAGCGGAGGAGTCGTAGAAAGTGACAGTCTGGTCGCATGCATGGAGCGTTTCCTGCCATCACGACCTGTCTGGCTTCTTGTGGTTGGTTGTGGAGCAGCACTGGAAGCAGGATGCATTTGGTCGAGGCGGCGGTCGCTATGAATTGGGAAGCTCCTTTGCACTCTGTGCTGGCATGCTTCGGAACTGCTGATAGACTTCGGAGTTGACGACAACGTGTGGGTTGCTTCTGCAACGGTTGACAGGGTACTTACTGCGTTGAGCGCGGTCTTTCATGCTGACGCGCTGCGGCATGAATCTCTGCATGGGGTGTTCGTGGCCACCTTTTACACATTGAAGAACAGCCCCATTGGGCAGATATACGAGGGCCCACGCTGTCACCCATGCTCACGTGCTTGCTGGTGCATTGCGTTTCTAGGGCGGAACATTCAACAGCTAAGCGGCTAAACCCTTCGTCCCGGTCCTCTTGCTCTGCTTGTGCGTGCTGCAGGTCGACAGTGAGAGCATCTCTTCGGTGATCCTGGCCTGGTAGCCCGTGCTGACAAAAAGTCACATCCATCAACAAGCACCTTTGCAAAAGCCCTCTTCGCGCTCGCAGCATGAAGGAGGTGCCTTCAACTTTAGCGAGCGACTGCCAGAGCTCGCTGGACGCCACCTCCGAGTCCACCGCCTCAGGTCAGCTTTTCAAGTTAGCGAGCTCATGTTCAGAAGTGTCTCTGCCTACGGTTCAGTCGGAAGTCTAGTCAAAAGCCCAACATAGCCCAACCTCCAGACAAAGCTCCGCAGCTCTAACTTCGGCCGTGGCCTTGCAGATTTTAGCGTGCAGCTCTCTTCTTCGCGTTTGCGAGCAGGGCCCCCCACTGCGCGTACTCGAAGCTCCTTCATCTGTGTATGAACCTGCCATGCAGACTGGCAGGCAACCTTTCCAAGAAAAGCATCCAGAAGCCTCTTCTACTTGGCCCCTCTCCACAGTGGCAAGCTGGACAGCCTGGAGTCGCAGCTAGCGGGGACAAGCATGGACATGCCGAGGCGAACTCGTCCGGTGAATCTGACATCGACTTCCCGCTGAGTGCCCCAGCTTCTGTCCAGTCACCTGAACACACCGGTTGAGTCCAGAACATCATAATAATTATTTCAAGTCTGTCGCTCAACCAATGCCTCGGAATTTCTCGCGCGCCTCGGTAGGCACGGAAAGATTGCCCTTCCAGCACTGCCATTTCGCCTCCCTCCGGGCCAGGACCAAGAGCCACGTAAGCTGCGAACTTCCACAGCGTCTTCCGACTGTTGCCAGAGATCCTGGATGACACGCGAATGGCCGCAGATCGGTGAATGTAGCCGAAGTGTTGAAAATGACTACCGGCCGAATGCCTCCAAGTCAGCAGACAGCTCAGCCAGCCTGACCGGGCACGTCCGTGTCAACAGGGAACTTTTCAGTCGCGTGTGTTCGTCGTGAAGTGCCGCGGCCTTGTGGTGAAGTGCATGGAACGAGTCTTCGCTCTCTGCTGTTTCATCCAGCAGGCATAGCCTCAATCGGTTGACTCGGGTTGAGTTCTGGCCGTCTGCGATGCCCAGGCACAGAACTGTCACTGCTTGGCCGCTTACTCTCTGACTCTGCGTGGGCCAGTGCTTGTAGCTTCTGCTCATGTTCCTGCGCTGCTCGTGCGGCGTATGCTTGCGGCACGGCACGGGCTAACGGCAAACCGGCATGAGTCATCTCCGACACAAAATACCTTTTTTCGGAAATGCTGCCCTCCCACGTCGGCAGAATCCATAGATGCCCGCCCAACCTGCCATTTCTCCGCTGCACTAGCACTAGAGTTTCGTACAGTACACCAATGCAAAGAAGAGGCCAGGTGATGAAGCGCCTGCACAAGTGCTTGGTGATGGTTTTTTGCTGAAAGCCGTGCCGGGCAGATTAAGTTTTGGAGCGCCTCGCGGGAGTTGATAGGTCTACGAGCGCTGATTCGACTGCATCCTACTACTGCTACTACTACTGCTACTACTACTACTACTACTACTACTACTACTACTACTCCTAGTGCTAGTGCTAGTGCTGGTGCTGGTGCTGGTGCTGGTGCTGGTGCTGGTGCTGGTGCTCGTGCTGGTGCTACTGCCAGCTGTACTGGCAGTGGTAGTGGTAGTGGCAGAGGAGGCAGTAGCGGCAGCAGCAGCAG